CTTGTCGTAACAGGCTTCGCGATGTCTCGCTGCCTGTTCCTCCAATCCGCGCCTGGCATACCTACCTTGGCCTGCGGCGCTAGCCTGCCTTCGGCAGGCAATGCTTGTCCACGGTCGGTTACTTCTAATTTGTTGCATGCTGAAGAGCCCCCCAGACCCCCCTTCATTCTGTATAGAGTTGCTTTATCTAGAAATTACACGATCTTGACCCTTGTAACATTATAACTTGTCGAGGCTGGGGGCCCCCCCCAGGCCCCCCTTCCATCAAGGCAGGGGAGATCTGCCAGCAGAAATCTCGATTTTTCGCCGTTTTTTAGTTGTTTTTCGGCTATAAAAACTGAACCAGTGGAGCTAGGATAGTGATATTTCGCGTGTGCCGAGCCAAGAACACACCTTATGAGCCTGCAAACTCTCAGCCAGATCGGCCGAGCCGTTCAGGAGGAGTAGTGCACACACACACACGCAGACAGACAGACAAAACTTTTCAACCGCACTGGAGTAACAGGCTCCGCTATCGCTCAGCCAAATAATGAGGGAAAGGTGAACCCCTATTTGTTAAACTCAGTTTTCATAATACTAAGGGAAACCTACAGGATATAACTCAAAAGAGCTCGAAGGAGATTGTACCTTCTTTGGCAATTTCAGACTAAAGAATGCTTCGGCGAAGCCCTCTTTAATATATCTGAGAAAAGACATGCATCCTCCCATGAGGACCCAAGTAATGCTCTGAAGAACATTTGTTCAAGCCCTGAGAAAATCTCTCTGAAAAAAGATGGAAAATGAATGGGGTCTCCATGAACGTGATTATAGAGTTTTTCTCCATAAAATTTCGGAGCCAATTTCTAACAGTGTGAGCTCCATAGTGATGCCACATGGAGGAAGTTTGGGGAACATCGAGCGGTAGCTGAATGTATTGAATAAGGAATTGGCTGAGATGAAGGAGGAGATGGCAGAGATGAAAGAGGTAGGGCTGAAAAGGTAGAGGGAGGTGGAGTTGAAAGAGGAAGAAGATGGAGGAGGATTTCACTGCAAACTGTTGGTCTAGGCATTATTTATGCCCTTGACTCATAACAAACTGTGGCACAAGTGCGACACTGGACCTATCACATCATATTTAAATGTAGACTAATAATAATAATAATAATAATAATAATAATAATAATAATAATAATAATAATAATAATAATAATAATAATAATAATAATAATAATAATAATTTTGCCACTAATAATGTGGTAGGTCCACTTTGTGCCACAGTTTGGTAGGGTGAAGGGAGTAAAAAATGTCTAGACCAACAGTTTGCAGATCATATCAAATACTTACAATGCCAGTGGATGGCTCGACCTCCATAAGACGCTCTGGCCCCTGCCTCCTCTCCGGGCCCCAGTTCAGTTGGATTTCGTCCTCGTCTTGAGGGAATGGTGGCTCCTGTGGTGGAGCGGACGGGGCATGGGAAGCAGCAGCTTCATTGATCCTTGCCACCACCGTCTTCACAATCTCCTCCTTCTCTGCTTCTCTCCTCTGCACTTCCTCTTCTTCCTCCATCTTCTTCCGCTTTCTCTCCTCCTCCAACTCAACCTCCCTCCTCTTTCGCTCCACTTCCTTCAACTCTCCCAACTCCTTCCTCATCTCCGCCATCTCCCTCTTCATTGCATTCATCTCCCCACGATGCTCCCCCAACTTCTTCCAAGTGGCATGGCATCCATGTGTAACTCACAACGGCAGGAGCAGTAGCTCGAGCTGCTCGCACTTGCGCTCGCCCGGCGGCGCTCTTCCTGACCAGGACGCGAGCGTCTCGATCCTCTTGATCCTCCTGAAGACATGTTGATGATGTTGATTTGGCTGCAACAGAAAAACAATGGAGCTTTTGATTTTTTCCTTTACTGCTTTGAATCGAGTAAAATAATTTGGTGTAATGATGCAAACCATCCTGAGGCACAATAATCAAATAAAAACTCAATGTGGAAATAAATCAAGTTATTCCCTTCTTCCGCTTCATGGATCAAATATTTCTCACTCTTTTCGGGTAAGAATCAAAATTCTTACCAAATTTTGGGGTGAATTGTTCTACCTCCCATGCTCCATCATGCACGTTGAATTAAGGTATACCCATTTGTCGTAGGTTTTGCTCCAAAGGTTGCGAATGAAATCGTTTTTCATAAGTTGTTAATTAAGTTCGGGACAGTTCTCATTCACATAACCGTGTTGGTGAGTGCTACAAGGTAGGTTTACGCCAGACCGCGTCTTGTCGTAACAGGCTTCGCGATGTCTCGCGGCCTGTTCCTCCAATCCGCGCCTGGCGTACCTACCTTGGCCTGCGGCGCTAGCCTGCCTTCGGCAGACATTGGCTTGTCCATCGTCGGTTGTACTTCTTACGTGATGCTTGCTGAGGGGCTCCGCCCCCAGACTCCCCTTCATTCTAGAAAGAGTTGCTTCATCTACAGATAACACAATCTGGACCCTTGTCACTTTCTAACTTGCCGGGACTGGGGGGCTCCGCCCCCCAGACCCCCCTTTCTCCAAGGCACAAGTGATCTGCCTGCAGGAAATTCGATTTTTCGCCGTTTTTTAGGTGTCTTTCGGCTGTAAAAACTGAACCAGTTGAGCTAGGATTGTGAAATTTCGCGTGTGCCGAGCCAAGAACATACCTAATAAGCCTGCAAAATCTCAGCCAGATCGGCCGAGCCGTTCAGGAGGAGTAGTGTACACACACAGACAGACAGACAGGAAAAACTTTTCAACCCCACTGGAGTAACAGGCTTCGCTGTCGCTCAGCCAATGATTTCTTTTCGGTCAAGTTTTATGCGCGACGAAAATTTATTATGATAATGCCTCAGGCCTGGCGTCAGCTTCAGGACGGACCTCGCCGCCGAAGCAGCGGCACAGCGCGAGGAAGGCGGCGGCATGCTTTGGGCGTCCTGGACTGTGGTCGACGTTGGGGGCGGCCCTGGTTGCAGAGCAAGGCGCGGTCGAGGCCCTCGGGCTCGCCTGCGTAGTGACGATTCGCGGCAATTGTACAGAAAATTGGTACTGCCATTGGGCCTCCGGGTTACAAGGCAGCCACCTTATCCACTTTTGTTTTTTGAAGGTCATGATGATTTATTTGCCAGTGAATTTTCGTATTCTCAAAGTCTGAACTTTAAGACTTGAGTCTGAATTCTTATTTCAGAGTAGGCAATCTATAAATAATAGCCCGAATTTTCAGACTTTTTTGATAGTGTTGCCATTGCGGGAAATGCGAGACCATTCATCTTATTCAGTACGCACATACAGCTGGTAGTTCTCATGTACAGGCAATACAAATATTGCAACAAGGATGGTGCCTCCTAAAGGGTTGCAAATAGGTCCTTTAAAGATCCAAGTTATTGTGGCAAATGATAGATGTCTCCTAGAACAAAAATACCTGGAGAAATAACAATACCAAGTTTAAAGTTTTTAGATCTACTAATTACTTTGTTACAGTAGTGCATAACACCTTCATTTTTCAGACTTTTAATAAGCAATGGAATTTCAGTACCTAGACACAACGACCGATTATTATGGCATGGCTGGTTCCATACACCAGTGCGGCCAAGAAGCCGTTCAGGTTTTGAAACTTAAAACAAGAAAAAGATTATAATGGGCCACATTCAGCGACACACTACATTAAATTGCGGTGTATTTGAAGACATGTTTCTTTACCCATACAAAGTTTGGAAATCCTTGCAAAATTGAGAGAATAATTCGTCTGCTTATCCATGTCATACTGAGCTATACAGGACCCATTAAGAAGAACAATACCTTCAATCAATTCACAAATTTACAAAATACTTCTCAGGTATGCCGTTCAATAAGAGTTTCACGTTTTACAGTTGGCAAACGGCAAAGGGGCGCTTTCCAAAAACAGTGACTTCTATCAACTTAGTGTGGAAGGTTAAAGACGTCTTAACGTTAATTAAGTTCTTGACTTTTGTCACTTAATGAAAATGGTTGGCCTTTGAACTTAGGATCAAACCAGAGACGCAGAAGCTGTTTGAAAATACCCTTGTTCGCCGCGTGCAACATATCGCAAGTCATTCCAGCTACGCCACCTCGTTTTGAGCATGGAGCGGCAGGGTTCGCCGGCCAAACTGCATGGCTTCTTTGCGCTGGTACCCCCGAGAAGGTAAGAAAGACGTGTAAACTCTGGTCTAATTATGCCCTATTGAAATTAAAATGTGCGTTGGAGGATGAAATGGATTCCATTTCCGTCATCAGCACCCTCAAAAACTCAGGAAATAATGTAACACTTGGTGTAAAAACATCAGGCACTAAAACGTTAACTTTTTCCTGCCCTACTTTTAGTCATTCTGTTCTTATGACCGACTGGATTGAGATAGAAAGCTGAATCATAGTATGTGGCGAGCCAATGAATGACCCTGCAACATGTCAGCTGCAAATCGGCCGAGCCGTTCAGGAGTAAAGTCTCGTATTGACCTTTTATGTCTCGCCTCTACATGATTGATTGACAATTATATCTTTGAAACGTTTAAATTTGTAGATAGTTAAGGAGAAAATAGTACATTTTACGTTTGCTCAAAAACCACTATAAGCAAGAGAGAAAAAAGTCCATCTAGGTCTGAGAGTGTGGGCTTCGCTACCGTTCAGCCAAATACTTTCAGTCGGCCAATTCAGTAGGCTCTTTAGGCCAACCCCATTTTTCCAAGACCACAATCTGGCCAATAGACGAAGTCTACGTATGCTCACGGTTTGGTCCAGGTGACATAACAGCGCGATCTATTATTGTTGACGGTACTGAAGAAAATGAGGTATCCACCTAAAAGAGGAATAAAGTCAGTAACTGATGAGCGTTGAGGGTTCTGACCTCTGGCTTAAAATCGTCATATAGTGAGCAGCTGAAGACCATAAACAAAATTGCTGCCACAGTTTTTTAGAAAATATTATTTTGCATTTTTCGTCACTTAGCAGTAACCTTGACGATTCTTTGGAAATATTCTCCGACTACTCAATGATAAAACTTACACGAACACCTGCCGACCCCCGCAGTGAGACGGTATAAATCGTGCACGTCGGACTGAGAAATGTCAGTACAGCAGTACGTTGCCATGTTGTTCAAGGTCGTTGTTTTCGTCGCCGCGGCAGTAGTCGTGAGTATTCACTGTTAAAAGACATGCCTGTCAGGGTCCCAGATACGGTCCGACCGCACTAAAACCATGCATTCCATTGAGTCCATCAAAAACCGTAGAACATTACAGGAATGATATCGATGGGAGTTCTTTACTAACCAAAATGATCATTTGCCCGAATTGTCACTAACCCGAATCTTCACGAGGCCGAATTTCCTCTAGTAGTTCCGTCCTTTTGCAATGTTCCCGTTTTGTCTCACTTGCCCGAACTGTCACTAACCCGAAGGCCACGCAAAAGTGTTTCACTAAGCCGAATCTTCACTAACCTGAATTATCACTGGCCCCAAACTCGGAACCAGGGTGGGGGACGTATTTCACTCTGCTGCTTTAGGTCTGCACGGTAAAAACGGAACCTGGTTTTCCCAGCAACTCCCTGGAAATCGCCTATGTCTCTACCATAGGCTTCCTGGGAAAACCAGGTTCCGTTTTTACCGTGTGCCGTGAATAGGGTAAAATCTGTCGCATTAAGAGTAATTTTGTTGCGAGCCCGTTAGGTCAGGTAAAAATAGGTCGTACCACTTAATTTCTGACATTCCGGCCCTGCGAACTGCAGTTTCCCTCTTGCAGACACTAGCTGCGGCCACCCCTTTTCCACATTTCAGTGACAATTCACGTCAGTGAAACGGAATGGAAAAGCTCCACCTTCGCGGTACTGGCACAACGCTCCTTACACGCATGCTTTCGGCTTAGTCACAATTCGGGTCAGTAAAACAAATTTCGTTTTCGACTAAATGATCGTGTTCTGTGTTTTCGGGTTAAGGTCAGTGCGGGGAAAAACTGGACAGATGAAGAACTGAACACCCTACATTTCACTGCAAATGCCTTAAGCACACACTGTGGCAAAAAGCTACGGAAAATTCTGTAAACAGCTTGTGGTAATTCTCCGTAGGCCCCTTATCAATATTCTCCGTAGGCTCTTACAGTATTTTCTGTAGGACTGCACAGTATTCTCCGTAGGACCGCACAGTGATCTCCGTAGGACTATACAGTCTTCGAGGTCCTACGGAGAAGACTGTGCGGATTTACAGAGAATACTGTGCGGCCCTACGGAGAATACTGTAAGAGCCTACGGAGAATATTGATAAGAGGGCTACGGAGAATCCTGGCAAAAAAATTAACAGGATTTTCCGTACCTTTTTGCCACAGTGCAGGCTTACTCTACAAATCGAAGAGCGTACATTGTATGCTCTAACTGGAGCATGCCTGCAAGCACGCTCTAGCTAGCGCCTGCCTGCCAAGCATGCTTTTACTAGTGCATACATGTCATGGACACGCTAACTGGAGCATGCATCTAGTGCATAAGGGATAGGGAGTTGCCTGCATCAGGAAGCGTGTACATGGCATGTATGCTCTAGTAAGTGCACTGGCTTCAAGCTTTAAATGGATAGCTTTCTTCAAATCTCCCTTCTTCCGTCCTTAACCTGCAAATATGCATACTGTAATCTGCTTCTGATTTGACATTAATATAAATAATAAAAACATTAGAACATTATTATAGACTTTTCTTTGGAGGAGTTTGGGAACGCATCTCGGTCATCTGGCTGAAAATAGAATAAAACAATGAAGAAACAATCTGTGAAGGGATTTCATTTTAGAAGATGAACTGAAGATGTATGATTCTTTGTCCTAGGTGGCAGCTCCCGCTGCGGCCTTTGAGGCTTCGGACTGCTCGGAGGTGCCGGGCTGTCTGAACGAGTATCAATGGAAACATAAGGTCGACCAGGCACGAGCCCAGGCTTTCTGCGCTGACAGGTAAACATAACTGGCAACACGTCTCATTCGATTGTTTGAATTCATTTATTTTCCTTGAAACAATCTAAATTCTTATGTATAATATTGATTGAAACGTTTTGGAAAAGCACTTATTTTTTGCGTTTATAACCTCTTTAACCATTAGACAAGCGCCTGGAAGGTTAATTAATTACAGCACTATTCTTTCTAAGGGTTTGCAAAACACACTCATTCCAGGAACACACATCCATGACATCACATTGAAAGCGTTGCGACAAATGAGACACAATGTCACGTTCCATTCAGCACTGAGTCCCCCCTCGCGTCAAGACGAATTTGATACAATGCTCAAAGGAACGTCAAATTTTTCCTTTATTGGTTGCAACGTTGTGTCACTTTCCTAGAATGAGAGTGAAATCTAGCGTCATCTTTGTTTACTCATCTTTACATGTTCCTTTATTCATCTTTACATATTTCTGTACTCGTACTCATCTGTCGTCGTTCATAGGTACAAGACCTGCAAGAATGCTGACGGCAGTGACATGAAGCAGTACTGCAAGGTCGCCTCCCCTCAATGCGTCTTGTTCGTGTTCGAGTACATCGGTCTGGACGACAAGGCCAAGAAACAGGCTCAGGACTTCTGCAAGAAGAGGCTTCCTCGCTGCCAGTAGCCGCACCCACCCACCCACCCACCCACCCAGCGTTTCGGGCGCTGAGTGAACAAAGGGTCTGCACATGTCAATTTTACTCAATGAGTTTTGGTGGACTAAATAAATGAACACAGGGCAATAGCTTGTGACCATGAAACACTTTTTTGCTGTGATTGATTATGTTTCGTTATCGGCTCCTGTTTCCAGCGGTCAAACGCGCAGCTGCTCATAATAGACAAATTTTGCTTGGTTCCACCCTCGCGCATGGGAACGTTCAGACGACAGCAAGACTCTTGGTGTCTTAGGCACCTAAGTCAAAGGCGATACTTAAAGCGTCTTTTCTGGCGATATAATTGATGATCGTCAACAAGAGGAAACAAGAAGATGTAATTACACAAAAATCTTACCCTGGAAACGGCGATGCACAAAACTAACGCCGAACTTTGGCGATGCTTTGGAGTTGAAGTATCGCTTAAATTTTGCAGTAAACAATTAATTAGTTAACTCAAAAATTAACCAGTCACCCTGAACTGTTCAACGTTAATTGCTATATTTTGGCAACGAAAGTATCGCCAAATTTTGGCGTTACTCTTGTTTTGCCATTTACGTATACACTGAACACTGCAAAGGCGATACTTAAATACATTTTTTGGCAATACCACATAGCATCGCCAACCAAAATTTGGCGATACTTGGGTATCGTCAAAACCACGGCATTAAACTAAGAATTTGTCCCCTTGGTTGGTTCAAAGTTTATTCCCAAATCGTGGCAAAACTCCAAAGTATCCCCAAATTTTCGCGCTACTTCTGTGTATCGCCGTTTTGATGGGAATACTTTTTCGTTAGGCCGTTTATTGGCGATACTCAATTGTATCGTCACAAAAGGTACTACAAGTATCACCTTTGGATTTACAGTGAAAATGGAACGACCCGACACATGGTCAAATTATAACATGATCAAAAGTCACGCCGAAATTCAGCGTGACAAAAAGTCACGCGGGAAACGCTATGACAGGTGAGTAACTCCGATATCGCGTTAATGATGCACGTTGATTGGTGCTTTGATGGCGTTTCTTAGGAAAAGTCAGGCCAAAGAACTGGCGGGACTGAACAGTGACGCCGGAAAATTGGCGTGACTTCTGAGTCGCGCCGTGAAATGACTTTTCTGCCACGTCATGTTTTGGCGCGACACTTTCATCATGCTCCTCAAACGGCGTGAAGTCGCACCGATACATTTTCAGTACATGATCGCCTCAGCCCCGTGATGTGAAATTCATTCCATCCCCTCCTCCCCCCCCCCGTAAAAAAAAACACGAACAAAAAACGTCAAATCGAAACAGCCTTGATTTTGACTCCCGCCCTGCACCTCTTTTGTGTTGAAATGTCCCATTTGCTTGCGAAGGTTTTCCGCCTATTTTCCCTCCACGTGGAACTGCAGCGTGCCAGTGCCCATTAGGCCGCGAGGCGCCGCTTCCGCCGAACGCGTTGAAGTGACGCGCCCTTGACGGGCTGTCTCGGCGAGCTGTCCAGTGCCTGCACACTGATTCCGAGAATCGTTTTCGTCGCTGTGTCTCTCTCGCACTCACGGGGCACCCCTCGTAGGTGCGAGAGGGACAGAGCGACGAAAACAGCTCTCGGAATCAGTCTGCAGTGCCTGCAGCGGGTGAATCCCGCCGCTCGCCCAGTGCAGGTGAGGACTGCGTCCAGCTTGGACTACTTAGCAGAGCAGCGCCGCCCTCGGGACCGAGCAGCATCGTCGCACCCGGCCGCACGATGAAGTTCCTCACTGCCGCAGTACTTCTCGTCACCGTGGTAGGTGCACACGAAATTCATGTGCTCTCAGGAGAGAGAGAGTGTGCTGAATACACGCATCAGTTTGATCCAAGAAGAGGGAGAAGGGGATGACTCAATTTTCATAATTTGTCAGGACAAACAAAAAACTATTAACAGGGTAAACTAAATACTAAATACTATCAGATGAATGGTGCAATTGCATCTTTGTCAAAATAAGCCTAGGAAATAACTAAAAAGTTTCAAAAGTATAAAATTGCTCTGCAGAAGGTTTCTGTGATTTAAATCATTGCGTCTTAAAATGGACTACGGAACCATGGTTAACTTACTTCGTTCTCACAAACGAGTTGGAATTTGAAAACAATTCAAGTGGAGCGGAGGTCCGCGTAGAGCCTATATTCCTGTGGTACATTTTTGGAGTTGCCTCTTTTTTCCAAAGTAGTTAGGGGACTTGAGTTGATTCTTCTTCCATTAGATTCATAGAGACACAAGTTGAGTTATCTACTTATGCCATTTTGTGCGATGGAACCATGTTGACTTCGGTTGAGTTACCTCCATTTTCCGATGAAATTTAGACCGTAAAGGGGGTCAAGTTGAGTTGTACCCACTTTTCGTGTGAATTTTTTCCTAAACTTTTATGAGTTGGGTCAAACAATTTGGTGTAATGATGCAAATCATCGTGAGGCACAGTTTAAAGATTTTGTTTTAGAGAAACGTCACAAAAACATGTTAAGGCCAGTCCAGCTCAACGTTCATGAGTTAAAATGACTTATCTTTTATTCAGGTTCGATTAGTTTATCAGGCTCCTCACTACACTCTCAGACACGTACTGAGATTTCGTTTGATGACGTCTGCGCGCATTAAGAAGCGTCTTATCATGTTTATTTGTTTTAGGAACATTATTATCGATATCCTATCGACAACGAAATTCTATTTAATGCGCGCAAACATCAATGAACATTGATATAACTTCGATTGAAGGATGAGTGTATCTTGTACGACATTCGCTGCTGTTCAAATTCAAATTATGTGCACGATTTCTGACAGGCCACAGCGGCGGTGGCATCTCCAGGCCGTGGCGGAGGGCGCGGGGGTGGTGGTGGTGGTGGCCGCGGCGGTGGCTCCTCAGCGTGCAAGACAAGCTTTCCTGGCTATGCCGGTATGTGTAAAAGCTGCTGCTACAAAAAGTCTGAATGGTACAACAACACTGCAAAGCCAGTGGCAAGTTTTCTTGCCACAAATTTGGCAAGCTGTCTAGAATGCCAACATTTGGCAAGCTTTGGTCGGCACTCTTCATAAGGTTGCCAAATTTTGGGAAGCTGGGAAGTATTTCTGGGCCAAGCTTGCCAATTTTTGGCCTTCAAAACGGCTTGCCAAATTCGTGGCAAGTAAACTTAACACTGGCATTGCAGTGAATGCAACGAAAACTGTGAAAGGACGGGGATTGTAGGAAGTACAACGAGAGCTGGGCTGCACACACTCAATTACTGTGTACTTTTTTGGTGCACAAGCTTCGCACAACATTGAGCCTGCGTTCTGATATGCCCGACTTTTACGCGTAACAACGCACACTCTCGTGCTCGGTTACGCACAAATTCGCGCATTTCAAAACCATCAAAACGCATGCCCAATGCTGTGCGAAGCTTATGCAGAAAAAGTACATGGTAATTTTCGTGAGCACTCGTTTTACCGGTTCCTTTAAACCTTGTACAACACTGAAATTCAAAGGGTGAGACATCTGACCGATTTTCGGTGATACAAAAAGTATGACCGAAAAAACGGTCATACACAAATGTATGACCGAAAAACGGTCATACACAAATGTATGACCGAAAAACGGTCATACTTAAATGTATGACCAAAAAAAGGTCAGACATCAGCGAGGGGATATATCAGCCTTTACACGTGATACACTATAAAGTATGACCGTTTTTCGGTCATACATCGAAGTATGACCGTTTTTCGGTCATACATCGAAGTATGACCGTTTTTCGGTCATACATCGAAGTATGACCCTTTTTCGGTCGTACATTTCAGTAAGACCGTTTAAGCGGTCAAAAGTATGACCGTTCTATTTTCAGTGAACTGTTGTTGTACCTGAAAAGTACATACCCATCCCTGATAAATTTATAAAAATATCAATTCTTGTGGTTATTTATTTTGTCCAGCACTGAAGCTGGAGGTCACTGAACTTACAGTCAGATGGGTCAGTCACTTTAATCACTTGTTTCTGTTGTTTTCCCACTTAGAACCGTTGAGGGTCTTCACTGAGACAGGGCAGGCCACACAGGATCTGAAGGTAACGATGCATGCAAACACGGCACACTCAATCGTTCCATTCGTTTCCATTGCAACGATGATTGTCATAATTAAGGTATTTTTGTCCGACTGTCTTTTAGTGCTACATGAGCTGTGTTCTGCAAGCCAAAGGATTGGTTAGTAGTGATTCAATTAATCGATTTCAGCTAAGATTCTCACGAATTCTGGGATTCATTTTAACACTTTTGCAGATGGAATCCAACGGAACTATTACAATGAAAGATCCAGCCAGCTCCCGTGTTACCGAGGCTTTTAAGACGGCAACCGCTTCGTGCTTCCAGCAAAGTATGGACACCCTAAGCATGAAAAGATGCACATTAAACATGAAACCGTTATATAACGTTTGTTCACTGAAAACGTAATGGTCGGACACATGGCCAAATTATGGTGTGACAAAAAGTCACGTCAAAAATTGGCGTGACACGAAATTTACGCCGACAAACGGCGTGACATGTGAGTCACGCCTTCATTTGGGATGAATGACAACGCGTTTCATGAGAAAAGTCACGCCAAAAACGGCACGACAAGAAATTCACGCCAAAAGTTGGCGTGAAATTTTGAGTCACGCCGATTTTCGGCGTGACTTTTCTGTCATGCGGCACGAAGTCACGCCGATAGTTTTTCAGTGTTACCAATGGTCAAATGACAGGGTTTGTTTCCCCAAGATTTGAAGGGCTTCAATTATATTTAAGAAAAAGGATGCATGATCATGCCTAGAACATTGTCACATTTGTGCATATGTGAGCTATGTACAATTAAATGGATAACCAACGAACTATATGTCCGTATTAGCTCAACTCTTTCCAAAAAATTGTACTTTAGTTGTATACATATTTGGCCATTATTCACTCCTGCGCAAACAAATGCCCCATTATAATTTATCTTGCGATTTTTTGTTCAAGCGCCGACATCGGACCTCTGCGAGACTGCTTACGTGCACAACAAGTGTCTGTGGGACACTGACACCACGAAGTCCTTCCTCCGGATCTTCCAGTAAACCCTGCGACGTACCCTGCCCAGTTCATGATTTTCAATAAATAGTGCATTCATCTAGTGTTTGCAGTCCTTTATTATGAGCAGATAAATGTACGGAACTGCCCCCATGGGAACAACCACGTCGCATCCACGTCACGTGGGTGGAGTTGGTGAATTGCACTTATCTACCGTAAATCCACGTGAACTTCCTTGATTTCACATCGATGGGCGTCTATATTAAACCTACGTCCACTCTACGTGGATAGTTAAATAGTTTTGATGGATATTTTGTAGATATCGATAACACGATGACCTTGTGACGAGTAATCAGAGCTGCCCTATCGATATCAATGGTATATGGATTGAGCGCGTTAAATTTTTTCTTCAGGATCTTGAAGTTGATCCTACGTATTTAAATTCATTGAAGCTTTGGTCGTCAGTCTATGCCGGATTCATCTGAGTAGATTCGGACTTCACGTGGATTTAATGAAGATACGAGGACTTCGAAACTTGATTAGTTTTGAAAGCGGCGGATAGAGGGCCTGCTAAACATTCTTGCCATTCATTTCCCGCAGGTAGGATGCTAATTCGCCCTATCCCGGTATAATATTTCCACACTCATCGGACAAACCGGGTACACTGTGAGAAAAAAGTACGGAACATGTCTGGTCAATAATTTGCCTGGACCGTCCGTACTTGCTATATACGGAACGTTCCGTACTTTTTTTCCGTACCCATATACATGGGTTCATATGGAGCAAGTACGGAACGTTCCGTACTTTCTCCGTACCTCCGTACTATATTTTTCTGTACCATTTCCGTACAAAAGTACGAAATTTTTTACAGTGTAGCCTTATTGGCACAGTCTACGTGGGATATGTCGCGATCTATTGATTTTAGGGCGACCTCACTGTCATCAACCTTGAGAGGAATTTCTAACATAATAGCAGAGGTTTTATGTTTGATTATCGAGAGAATCGAATCCGGCACACCTGTGAAAATGGTCAAATTTTAGGTATTTTTCTACCTTTTATGTTGAGTCCAGCGCAGCAAACTCGACCTTGAAACTCGAAATACTTACTTAAGCTTGGAAACATTTTACAAGTTGATTTTGACTCGATTTAAAAAGTACCCTCTCTCCCAATAGTTGGCGTTGAGATTCAGCGCTTGAATATCAGTGAGTTGGTGCCGTGAATTTTTGAATCAGGGCTAAGAAAAGGAACATTTTGGCGCAAACCGAACTGAAATACGACAAAACACCATTTTTGTACCTTTGTGCCACTCTCACGGGCGCTAAAATTGAGATAATTCAATGCGGTTTGCAGCAAAATGTTCGTTAATTTCGCCTTTATGGTCTGAACCTCGGAAATGACCATCCATAAATAGGACGTGAGCAGCAGCCACGAAAACGTGATAAAATTGGTTCAAAGCCTCGTTTCTTTTTTGGCCCTCCAAAAAACAAATTCAAAATTATAATTTTTTGCATGCGCGTGGTTTAGACCATAGCTTTATGTGTCCTGACGATAAAATTTTTAAGTCCCGTGCTCAAGGCTCAATTTAGTGAGGCGGAATCGTGGCATAAGTGAAATGGTCGCAGAAAACTGAAGTGCACTGGCCCTCCATCTTCCTGTCGCCACCCCGCCCTCGCCCTCCCATTCTGATTTTTCTATGATTTTGTATGATTTTGAGTCAAGAATAAAATATTAATCGAATTCATATGTGACAGAATGATCGTTTTTCGAAACCTCTGCATTTTCACTGGTGTGCCCCCTTAAGCTTCGCCAAGCTCAGAATGACCGTGCTTGTTCTAGTGGTACCTACACAGCTGAAAAAGATTCGCTGATTCGGTGACGTCTGGGCGCAAAAACGAGAAAATTACAAGAACAGCGACACCCTCAAACCATTCTGGCGGCCTCGGTTCGTTTCGTCGGTTTAGTTTCGGTGGCGCTCGGTCCGTTTCGGAGCAGCCACCTCACCATAACGGCACTGCAGTCACCCTCCCGCCAGCTAGTTTTAATCGTCGTATGAAAGTGAAATAGGAGACAAAACAAGTCAGGGGCTGTCAGTAATCATTCGCGTGACTTATCAAAGCGTTACGTCGCCCGCGGGCACGTACAAATATGCTCAAACAGCTCAAAAACAGTTGTGTCCATCCTAACCTCTCTGGCGGAACACCATTTGGTGACGCAGGTCACCGTTTTGGTGACGGACCGTACCCGGGTTTGTATGGGTACCCGTTTTGGTGAGATTGGATATAGAACCACCACCAAAACTGCGAATATTTTTTGACTGTGTACAAAACAGATTCACCCCTCTTTGTGGGGCTCGCACAGCTCGACCTTTTCTTGCAGTCGTTCCACATATGCACCACTTCTGCTTGGACAAGTCGTGCTCGTTGTGCCGGTTCTATGTTAAACTAGCGACTCCAGCTTTGCGACCATAATCATGCAACCTTCTGCAAAGCACTGTACAGTGAACCCTGGGGGCCCAAGATAAGGCCCAGCACACTGTAAATGTCTTACGGTGAAAGGCTGCACCAACATATTATGGTGGGGATTTTCTCCATAATACCAACAAAATTCGTCAAAATATCTATAAGGTACAGTGAATTCTCAATGGTATGTTACAAGGTCAGCTGCACCACCATAATATGGAACATTTTCACCATAATATGGAGAATCTTCACTGTAGAACATTTAGAGTGCGCCAACCCACATAACCCAACCTGTTCGAATCAGGATCGGTTTGTCCCGCAGATTACCCCCGCCCGCCTCTCTCACTGGAAGTCGCGCGCTCCTGCAGACAGACTCTGCGCAGCGTCTCGTCGCTGTCTCTCTCTCTCTCTCTCTCTCTCTCTCTCTCTCTCTCTCTCTCTCTCTCTCTCTCTCTCTCTCTCTCTAACCCACATGGAACGCCACATGAGTGCGAGCGAGGCAAGGCGATGTTCGGAGTTGCTCCGCAGAGCCTGCTCGACGCGCCGCCACCGCTGTGACGTCATTCCAAGGCTGCGGGGTCTTTCCGGGACGGTGGGAGCGGAGCTCAGTGCCTCCTTGGAGCCGGGCGGGGCGTGGCGTGTGTTGTGGTTCCCAGCCGGCTGGGCGTGCTTCAGTGACTGCAGACTTTGGTGCGCGATCCTGCTCGTTTATTGGTCTGTTTTCACTCTCGAGAGTATTTGTTGGTCCTCAGGAAGCTCTTTCGGCTGTGGTACTTACTCGCAGTGGCATCTTCATCGTGTGCTTTTACACCTTAGACTAAGACCCTAATGAGGACTGACACCTGTCCCCTTATCGATGTGAATGCTTGTAGAGTCTATGTGCTTTTGAAGCTCTGGCACTTACATAGCTTTCACTCTCATTCCAGGAACGTGACAACACGTTGGTTTGAGCATTGTGACACATTCGTTTGGGTGTGAATGGGCCAAAAATCAGCTCTAGAATGAGGGTGTTTACGGTTTGACGAATGATCAGCGCATGCTGAAGAACAGTGTTTGAACGGTTCTCAAGTGAAGTAGTCGGACCGCTTGGATTGGAACAGAAGTCACAAAAGAACTAGCGCAAAGGATACATCGTTTAGCGTTCCCAAGGCCAAGTAAGACAACTGTATTTTCGTTTAGTGTCACAGACACTCGTAAACTGTCTTTTAATATAGTGTCACAGACACTCGTAAACTGTCTTTTAATATAGTGTCACAGACACTTGTAGATGAACTTAAGGACGGTCTCGCCTCTTGACACCCTTAACAAGGGTGAGCCCACTGAGGTTTCGTCATGAGAGCAGTATTCCCTTGTGGCAAGAACACTTTTTCTTGGTGAGCCAGGGGGAAAGCCGGGGTATTTGCGGGGCGCATTGGTCTCTGGCCGTCTCTGAAACACCGACACCGACAGAGGTATATGCGATTTCACTGCGCGGCCTGAAGATTGATCCCGAGAGCCGTTTTCGACGGTCTGTCCCTGTCGCAGCCATATGGGACGCCACATGAGTGCGAGAGAGACACGGCGATGAAAACAACTCTCGGAGTCGCCTGGAGGTTCGCGTCGGGCGAGGGCAATTACTTGGCCGCCACGGTCTCCTCTGTGCTTCCCCGGCACGCCACGCGCACCTGACCAGAGATGAGAACAGTGACCCCACGGTAGAAACATTCCCTTGGTTTTCCCAGGAACTGCCTGGAAATCGCCTATGTCCCTACCATGGGCTTCCTGGAAAAACCAGGTACCGTTTTTTACCGTGCCCTTCGGGAGAAAACACGTGTCTAAACCTCGCTACAGGAGTCCAAACTAAAGTTAAAAGTCGCACTCAGTTCACAGTAAATGTTTTTGTGCAAATTTTGTACGAGACATCACAGTTTTTTGTGCACAGGAACTTTTCGTACAATTTGTACGAAATTTTGCAGTAAATGGGGAAGTTTGTGCGGTTTTTCGTACCAAAACTGTACAAAAAGTTCGTGTGCTCTAAAAACTGTGATGTCTCGTACAAAATTGTACATAACATTTAGTGTGTTCCGTTCTCACCGGGTCATTGCTGTTATTTTATGTGTAACCTGTCATAGACGTCACGGTTTGGGTTATATGAAATTAAGAATAAAATGCAATAAAGTTAAAAAAGACTCGCAAATTTGTTTTTGTTTTTCGTTTTCCAAAAAACCCACAAATATAGGTCTGAACTAGAAAATCTCGGATTGAAATGAGCTGGCGTGAATCCCGGGGGTGAGAGTAAAGACAAGAGGGTCGGTAAGTGTGGCAACGTCGCACTCCGCCACCGCCGATTTTGCCATAATTTTGGCGTATTCCAGGCGTAAACCTCGACAAACCACGGACTACAACAAGCCTTTAGTGCGCCAAATTTACGGCTTATGCCACGTAGTTTTCCCACCGTTCTTCTTGGTGTATCGTCCGGGCACAGCACAGCCCTCGCGTGCAGAGAGGTGTCCAAGCTGCCCCCAAATTCCATGCCCTGTTCCGCTAGAAAGTGAAACCTTGAGGGCCGATTCAACGAGCCTATTGCGTCAGTGTTCAGCAAAGTAACCTGACAAACTTATTTTTCTATAATGCAGAAATCTTGATGGATGCTGCCCCGTGGGACAAGAGCTTCATCGTCGTCTTCTCGACACCACAAGTAATATGCTCTTCATTGTGCCAGTGTTGTATTTCTTCGTGCCGCAGGCCTTAGGTGAGCGTAAGTCTGGTTGTGTCAGGGGCGGACTGGCCCGGGGTTGGCGGCGGGGAAACCCCCGGTATACGGGCCCCCTTTGGACCAAAAAACACAAAGTATTGTCCAGTTACGTAACTCCAGAGCATGCTATTGACTCGGAGTTGCTTCAAAATATATCAAAAGTATCGATATTGGTGTCAAAAGCTTTAAAAAAAAACTGTTATTGTTCATGTAAACCCCCTGACAGATAGGTGAACCCGAACCCCTCTGGCCTATTTCCCCGCCGGGCCCTTTAGGAGCCAGTCCGCCCCTGGGTTGTGTATCTGGTTTTAAGTACGTATAGTGTCAGGGTGGGCTGATGTCACCGCCATTTTAAGCGCTGGGACATTCCATGTGAAGTCAACCAGGCCTTAGCCACCATGGGCTCCGATCCGGTTCCCGTTTTCAGGGTTTGTTACCCCTATGGTCCCATGAAATAATCGGTACTTGGTTTGGGGTCCGGCCCCCCAGGGGCTGGGCTATGGCCAATTTACTTTTTTGCTAAATATTGAAACAACGCAACTTTGGAGGGCAGTATCTCAGCAACCATTCGTCGTAGGTCAAATCCGAGACCAGATTTGGAAAGAGGATGAAAAACTGAATCTTTTTTGTCATTGAAGTTTTTATGTCCAAAAACTTTTTATAACTTCAAAACTTTAGTTAAGTTTTAAAATTAGCGCCATTTCCTAGATCCTCAACCGATTTTGACCAATCTGGGCTTAAAAGATAGCTTAAACCCTTCCCTAAACGAAAATGTTAACCAAAAAATGTGTTCGGCTTCGTTCCCGAGAACGAGCCATTTTCGTAAACCCCTGCAACCACGTATTTCACCAAATTGTAGTGACGGCCGCACTCGCTACCACACTGGACGCTCTCTTAGGTGTTTTCGGCTCAAAGCAAGCTTCCGGGTTGCTTTTCTAAGGTCAGGGGACCCAAGCGCCTGTCAGGTAGGCCAACAACCAGCAGACCTGCTACGCACTAGTGACGACAGGGTGGCCTACCTTGCCCCTAAAGAGTGCGACGGGCAGCGCTCTCTGGGCGGTCGGGCCAGTACTACACCCTGACAACCCGGCGTGATATTGTACAGGTGGGTGTGGGTGTTGTTTTAAGTTATTGTTGCTCGGCAGGGTAGGGGATGTTTCAGGCGTTTCAGTCAGCATTTGGGTAAACATACATGTTTGAATTCTCTTTGACAGTCCCAGCAGATTTGACTGCACGCTTCAACGGCATTTTGGAATTAATCTGAAGGCATACCATAGTCAATAACAATGAAGATACAGGTTAGTAGTGTTAAAGAAGATACTTTTATTTAGATACAGCTATATATCCTAAAAAGTCTGAAAATTTCGACTTTTTTTTAACAGTGTAGTTAAAGTAGATACTTTTCTTTATGCTTTCCAGCAGACTTGACAGCACGCTTTAACGGCATTTTGGTAATAATCTGAAGGCATACCAAGAAGATACTTTCCTTTGGCTATAGCTAAAGAAAAGTATCTTCTTTAACACTAAAGCAAAATCGGTGGAGAACAAGTACAAAACCACCATAAGACTGTCAAAAATGTTTAATAAACATTGTTTACCCATTCTGCAAACTCAAGTGTGTGCCAGGCATGCACTTCTTGGTGCATGCCTGGCAGGCACACACTTCTTTTCTGCATGCCTGGCAGGCACACACTTCCTGGTGCATGCCTCAGGCACACACTTGCTTGTATGCATGCATAAGCGACGGCAAGTGTGTGCCAGGCATGCACTAACAAGTGTGAGCCTGCAGGCATGCACCAAGAAGTGCATGCCTGGCACACACTTAAGTTTGCAGAGCAAATGCTGACTGAAACGCCTGAAACATCCCCTACCCTGCCGAGCAACAATAACTTAAAACAACACCCACACCCACCTGTACAATATCACGCCGGGTTGTCAGGGTGTAGTACTGGCCCGACCGCCCAGAGAGCGCTGCCTGTCGCACTCTTGGGGCAAGGTAGGCCACCCTGTCGTCACTAGTGCGTAGCAGGTCTGCTGGTTGTTGGCCTACCTGACAGGCGCTTGGGTCCCCTGACCTTAGAAAAGCAACCCGGAAGCTTGCTTTGAGCCGAAAACACCTAAGAGAGCGTCCAGTGTGGTAGCGAGTGCGGCCGTCACTACAATTTGGTGAAATACGTGGTTGCAGGGGTTTACGAAAATGGCTCGTTCTCGGGAACGAAGCCGAACACATTTTTTGGTTAACATTTTCGTTTAGGGAAGGGTTTAAGCTATCTTTTAAGCCCAGATTGGTCAAAATCGGTTGAGGATCTAGGAAATGGCGCTAATTTTAAAACTTAACTAAAGTCTTGAAGTTATAAAAAGTTTTTGGACATAAAAACTTCAATGACAAAAAAGATTCAGTTTTTCATCCTCTTTCCAAATCTGGTCTCGGATTTGACCTACAACGCATGGTTGCTGAGAAAAAGCCCTCCAAAGTTGCGTTGTTTCAATATTTAGCAAATAAGTAAATTGGCCATAGCCCAGCCCCTGGGGGGCCGGACCCCAAACCAAGTACCGATTATTTCATGGGACCATAGGGGTAACAAACCCTGAAAACCGGAACCGGATCGGAGCCCATGGTGGCTAAGGCCTGGTTGACTTCACATGGAATGTCCCCGCTATGAAGATATCGCGTAAGGCGCAATACAATGAGACATTGTCCCTACAGTATGATAGTCACCAATGCACACCGAAAACGCCCTATACCAAGGCATGGGGAATCATTGCACTTTACGTGTGTTAGACACTAAATGATTTTGCACAAGTTTGTACGAGTTGTCACAGTTTTTGTTATTAATGGAGATGGACTTTTTGTACAGATTTGTACGTAATTTTATACAAAAATGAAGAAATCTGTGCGGTTATGCATCACAGAAAAAAGCCAGTGAAACGCCTCATGAAAAAAGGGAACATTGCGAGGCTATTTGTGTACCAAAGCATTACGCTCATTCGTCGTTATCCCATTTGGTGCGATGGAAACGGTCCAGGGGGCAGCCGCTACTACTCGCGACCAACACAAGATAACGGAATACACTCTCAGCCTTTTACTGACTTTTACTCATTGGCTTACGCATTTCTGTAAGCAACCATAATACTAAGTATTTTTTGTCAGAATTACTTAGCAATTGCTAAATACTGTACTGATATTACCGTTTTCTTAGTAAATTACAAAGAAATTTTTAAGTATTTAAGAAGTTAATACTAAGTATTATGGTTGCTTACAGAAATACGTCTGCTAATGAGAAATAGTCAGTAAACGGCTGAGAGAGTAGGAAGGAATTTTACGACTGATTTCGCGTTAAGTTTTGGAAAATTGGTTCTAAACGCCAAGAATGAAATCTTATCAAGGCTTACAGTTATGCATTCATGGAGATTGCCAGTCAAGTTGTTTCCAGGCTTACTACTGGCAGTTTGCCCTCGGGGGGGGGGGGAGGGGGGACGGTTTCAAACGCATGCAGCAAGTGACGCTACACTCGCTTCTTGTTGCAGCATCATGCCCACCACTGCAGTCGGAGACGGTCCGGGTGGTGTGTTGGCTCGGCGAGCGGGCCGTCGACTGCATGAAGGACCCTGTGCCGCCTGGAACCCTAGCCAGGTTCTTCTGCATGCCTGGGCATCAACTCTCGCTGCCCAACATGCCGCCCGCGAGGTTCCAGTCCCGCTGCGGCAGCGATAGCGCCTGGAGTATGCAGCCCTTCAGCTGCCAGCCAGGTGTGACCGGCACGTCTTCACTGTTATTCAATTGTTGTTTTTTTTTTTAACTTTGTCACGTTCATCTGAGTACGTTGTGTCATTTGTTTGAACGTGACACGTCACATCGTAACTTAACGGCCCACAGTGGGCTAGAAGACCGGTGGAGGCGGCCAACACTCTAGACGCTGACAAACAAATATTGGAGAGGATTGGAAGTCCTACTGATTTACGAATATTGGAGATGAGTTTTCGGGTTGAAAAACTTTGACCGCGCTCTCCTGTTGGTTGCAGTGACTTGCCCACCGTTGCAGCTTCGGACGGTGGTCGCGGATTGCACGCTCGCGGGGCAGCCGGTGCCCTGCAAAGAGCAGCCAGTCTCGCCAGGGACCGTCGCCACTTTTAAGTGCAAGCCCGGCCACAAGATCAAGTTCGGGTATTCCCGGGACCCGAACTTCCAGTCGCAGTGCGGCACGGACGGGCTGTGGAGCGAAGGGCCCTTTCGATGCGAACCGGAATCGAGTGCAAGTGCGGCAACCCCAGCGCCAGGTGCGTGACTTTACGAAAATATATCGTCGGCACACTATTTAACCATCCCTATGAGAAACGAAAAGGTACGTTTCATGTTTGAACAAATTACTTGCATTCGTACATAGGTACTGTCAGAGTGAGCGAAAAGTTAGTAACGTGCTAAGAGTGTACTTATAGAGATCATCTCAGTTTGCAAATTCCTGAGACTTCAACTATATTTCAACATCATTTCTATGTCTTTCCACGTTCTCACGTTGTTTTGATTTCATTTCGCATGAGGTTATTTCAACGTTATTTCAAGGGGATTGTACACCTAAATTCAAGTTATTTCCCGGTCAGAACACTTAAGTTTTCAAAGTAGGATCGCGAAGAGCACCCCCAGGTTCCAAGTGCACGCTGTGAAAATTTGAGTGGTCACTTGATGACAATTTCAAGGCTAATTTTCCCAACAACAATGTCGTAAAAAATTGATTGTTGACATTGTTGTCGCGCCCATGCAAAAAGTATAGGAGCTTTGATGAAAATGTCATCAATTTGTGATGAGAATTGTCATGACTTGAAAGTGATGAAAATGTCATCCGCGTTTTTGTCATAAAGTGACAACAAATTTTCACAGTGTGAAACGTTCGAATGCTGCAGTGACGTGCCCACCGCTGGAGTCGAAGACGGTGCTGGCAGAGTGCCGGTTCCAGGGACGGCCCTTCGACTGCACGGCGCGGAGCGTGCCTGCCGGAACCACCGCCAGGTTCCGCTGCAAACCCCTGCACCAGTTCCTGTTCGGCTACCTGCCGGCCTCCAGCTTCGAGTCCCAGTGCGGTGCAGACGGGCAGTGGACTGTGCAGCCCTTCCGATGCGAGCCCAGTGAGTCCTGTTTACGGTGACAGTTTAGAATCCGGGCAAGAGCTGCGCAAGCTAACGCTCTTGAAAAGGCCGAGATGTGAAATAAGAGTGCATGTACTTCTCTCGGCCAGGTGAGCTTTTTAACTGAGTTGCGCCCGCACAGCAATAGTGGTGCTACTCAGCGGAAAAATTCCTAAAACTTACTTACGAAATATGAGAATATTCTAAATTTTAAACCGTTACATACTGTTATGTCTAAAAAAAAATCTTCAATGTAAATACAAAATTTTACAAGTTATTTTAAAGTTACAAAGAAAGCTGATGTACGAAGTAATTCTTTTCAAAAGGAGAAAAGTTAGTACTTGGCACGCTTCTTCGTAAAGTTTCCACAGTGCGGTCTACTGTGTGCAGCTCTTAATAATCCACTCATTTAGAAGACGTTTCACGACCCAAAGAGTTCAATCTCACGTCTTTATTTTTAAAATTATCTGTGTTTAGTCTGCGGGCAGCCCACCGGCAAAGGGATCAGCTTCATCCGCGACGGCAACGTGACGGCCTCAGCAGCCGACTTCCCCTGGCACGTGGTCATCTACGACCTGACCAAGGACCTGCAGCAGATCTGCGGCGGCACGCTCATCTCGCCCAAGTACTTCGTGTCCGGTGAGACTCGCCGATAGCACTGGTGAAACTAAAGTGTAGTATTAAGTTACGCTTTTTGTTCAGGTGCTGTGAGTTTACGCTTCAAATCAAGCTTAACAGGCTCTTTCATCAAGATTTCCCTTATCTAAATACACTGGTAAAACAAAGGCATAAAAATTACGCCCTTTAGGGCATAAATGCCCTTTTACGCCCTTGCAAGGGCATAAATCGTTTTATGCCCTTGGGAAGGGTGTAAATGGTATGGGAATTTCAAGCAAAATTTTAATGCCCTTCCCAAAGGCATTAACGATTTATGCCCTTTAAGGGCGTAAATCGTTTACGCCCTTAAAGGGCATAATTTTTATGCCTTTGTTTCACCAGTGTACATGGGGAATTTCCATTCCAAGCAAAACGTCTTCTAACAAACTTGCACTTCTTTGTAGTTGGTGGTATGAGACGCTGTCCTATTTAACGCATGGAAGGACTGGATTGCGAAATGGTGTTTCTTATGGGAATCACCGAGAGTGAGTCAGTGTGTTCGAAGGTACATGAGTTGATGAATCGGGTCACCAACGCACAGCATGTAGTTTCTGACAATCCTACTCAGTTGTAGAAAGTGACTGAAGTGCGAGTGCAGTTACAGCTTTAGAGAGTTCTTTACTTCAGAAACGAAAGATTTCTGTACAGAAATCTTTCGTTTCTGAAGTAAATAACGTTGAACGTTCAATATTATATTTTGGGTGAGGGCAACTTTATATCCTAAATTTGGGTGATGGAGCTCATCTCACCCTATGGTGCCCTGGTTATGACTTTTTGATTCTCAGTGAACCCTCGATGTAATCCATCTCTTATTGTCCTTCTCAGGAACTTCCTCAGTTTTTTGTTTGGCTTTAAATTCATTTTCTGATTTCAGCTGCTCACTGCTTCCACGATGGTAAGAAGATGTCTCCCGAGGCAATATACAGAGCAGGCTTTGGGAAGATCAAGAGGAATGTCAGCGAACAAGAGCCAAACGAGCAGTACAGAGAGGTTAGGTTAAGTGCATTTCTACAACCTTTCAAATCCTTCTATGCAAGTCACTTGTCCAGGTCATGCACACGCTGACCTACATTGAGCCTACCAGGCATGTACTTGTGGAGTGAGCAGATCATCATTTCTATGACGGTATAAGGGTTGCTCAATCCGAGGTCTCGGATATCTTGCGCCAGGCTTAAATAATTAAAACGTTTCTTCCCCTAATTTTACCCACGCCTATTCAATGAATATGTGAATTGATTCTAAAATCATTTCTTTGAGAATTTGACCGCATCTGTTGATGACAGGTTTTTGTTCACTGATTTTGACTATGACAACAAAGTTTTTCCGCACTTTCCAATTCTCAATTATTAGTTTGTCAAAAATGTAAACTAGAAAATGTAAAACTACAAAGGATCCACGGGTTTCTCATGTGTCTAATACAACGGCCGGCGAATAGCACAAGCTAGCTTATTTTACACTTAATTACTTACTGCGCACTTTACCAATGCTTGCACCAGCAAAACCCAATGTTACGGTATTATTATTTGCATGTCAGCTGGAGAAGATTTACATCAAGGACTACGGTGGCAGCAAAGAACTGTATTCGAATGACATATCACTCGTGGAGCTCCGAGACGAGGTGGACATTACTTCCACCACGATGCCCGTTTGCGTGGACTGGGGCTTGGAGCTGCCCAACCTTCGCCATGGAGAGCTGGGCGCGGTAAGTATCTGACAAGCATATGTTATGGCATTACAGTTCCCTCTCAAGAGACCGGGACTGTCAAGATGTTGCGGGTGTGGCCGCGACGTTTGCAAGTGTTGTTGCCGGTTTTGACTTCATTGCCCTGATACTCCATTCGTACTTGCCACGACCCATGTCGTCATCATATCAGTTTCATCTTAAGAGGAGTTGTTTGCGCCCTTCTCTCAAGGTTTCATTGGATCCTGAATCGAGGCCGGGAAACGACCGCACTGAAAACTTGATGAAGGGTGTACTCGAGTGTGTATTATACCTACCCATATGGAGCACCATAATGTGCACCTTCGGTTCGAGTCCCATTTCGCGACTCTCACTCTCAGACATATGTGGACTTTTTTCTCCCTTGCTTATGACGTTTTCTGAGCAAACGTAAAATGTACTATTTTCTCTTTAACTATGCACAATTTTGATCGTTTTAAAGGTTAAATTGCCATTAGATCATGTAGAAATTGAAAAGTACATTGCAAAACAAAAAGTCAGGTTTAATGGACTTAATACATTATACTATACAATGAACAAAATAGTGCATAGCTACAGAGAAAATAGTTCATAATACGTTTGCACAAAATCCTTAAAGTCGATACGGGACTGAGAGTGTGGGAGCTCAAAACCCGTTTTTGACCACCTCCACCTCCGCCGGTCTTCTGGCCCACTGTGCGCTGCGTGATCGTGGCCTCGGCGTGTTGCAGGTCGTCGGCTTCGGCGACACTGCGGAGAGAGCGCACGACTCCCTGCGGTTCGCCTTGCTGCCCTTCATCAAGAGCGCCGAATGCAAGCGGCACGTCACGGACAGCTTGGCCGTGTACAACAAGCTTCCTGACAAGTTCTGCATCGGGTTCGTGAACCGTACGTATGGGGCAGGCGGAAAGTTTGTAGAAAAAGCCAGAATTCTAACCTAATTCTCAGTACTTTACGATTCAAATCTTTCGTAATACAGACACTGTGGTAAAAAGGTACGGAAAATTCTGTTAATTTTTTTGCCAGGATTCTCCGTAGCCCTCTTATCAATATTCTCCGTATGCTCTTACAGTATTCTCCGTAGGGCCGTACAGTATTCTCTGTAAGTCCGCACAGTCTTCTCCGTAGGACCTGGAAGACTGTATAGTCCTACGGAGATCACTGTAAGGTCCTACGGAGAATACTGTGCTGTCCTACGGAAAATACTGTAAGAGCCTACGGAGAATATTGATAAGGGGGCTACGGAGAATTACCACAAGCTGTTTACAGAATTTTCCGTAGCTTTTTGCCACAGTGGAAACATTTGTTCGTAATATGAAGAAAGTGGTGACAAGTTACTGAGAATTTCTTCCCCACGATGAGTTCCAAACTTCACTGCTCTGTCATAATACTTCGTGCTGCAAAGAAAAAGCTCAGGAACTTGGGGAGTATTAGTAGGCAGCTACCTCTGTAGCGTGGAGGACCCATGACGTCATTCCCTTCCCGGCAGGCACGACGGTGGCCAAGGGAGACAGTGGGGGCGGCATCGCCTTCCCGAACGAGGAGCGGGCGTGGTATCTGCGCGGAGTGGTGTCGCTGGGCAGCTCGCAAGAGACCACCTACTCGTTCTTCACCAACCTCACCACCTTCGTGCCGTGGATGTCAGGCCTCATTCAACTCGGAGAGGTAAACGGGTGAGGGGCTTGCGCCGAGGACTGGAAGTTAACACGAACAACTTTTAATGCTCTTCCTTAAAAATAACCTCCGCTCCGCAGTCAAAATTTGAGTAGTCTTTTGATGACAGGCTAATTTTCTTTACAAGGATGTTACCAACATTGTTGATGACATGGTTGTCACGCCCATGCAACAAGCATAGGGGCTTTGATGAAAATGTAATCCTTTAGTGATGTGATTTTCATCATTTGAACGTGACGAAAATATCATCCATGATTTTGCTAGTGACAACAAAAGCCATAAAGGGCTTGAAAGACTTCAAGCCCTAAAGGGCAATCACTCTGAAAATCTTCCCAACTATTTTGGGCCTTACAAAGAAAAGCAGCTGATTTCTTAGTCGGGTCTAAGTACTTATTTTGAGCACACGTGCAAAGAGAATACTTCGTAATTTTCGAACTATTTCTTCATAACACACTAAATAGCTTGTACCTTACACGGGCTCAAAATAGTTCTGAGGGTTTTTATCGTGTAGTTGTCATGCCTCTTGTTTTACTAGTGAACACTTGAGACTACTTCGTTCGCACTTGTCTGTCACCCGTTTTTCAGGTGAGCGGCCGGCGCTGCGGCGTGGACGTGAACCAAGCCAGCATCGTGAGTGGCGCCGCGGCAGGGCAGTTCGACTTCCCCTGGGAGGTGGACGTCTACTACAAGCAGACCTCGAACCACGACTTCGAAAGGCTCACCACCGGGGCTCTTATTGGTCCCAACCTCATCATAACGCGTTGGTGTCCCAAATATTCTTGCAGTTCAGTTTAGGGGAAACAGAGGAGAAAGCAGACTTGCACACTGCGAAAATTTTGGTTAGGTTGTCATTAGACGACAATTTCAAAATTTCAAGGGTAATTTTCCTTACAAGGATGTCCTCAAAATAAATGCTGACCACGCCCATGCAGTCAGTGTAGGAGCTGTGATGAAAACGTCATCCTCGGTTTGCTATACAGTGACAACAAATATTTACAGTGTGGACTGGCTCTCTAAATCATGGAGGTGCAGCTGTCTTAAATATCATACCTGTGAGAATTCACTGTACCTTTTAAATAGATATTTAGGAGAATTACGTCGTTTGTATCATGAAGGAAATCTTCACCATGCAGTTTTTTTTTTGTTTTTTTTTCTTGCATGCACGAAACTGCAAAATGCACAGTTTCAAATGTTTCAAAATGCACGAATTTGTGCGCTTTACTAGACACGAAAAAGTCACGCATGAAATCTGTGCATTTTGAATCGCATGCACAGTGACGTGCAAAGCTTAAAGCTCTAATAAAACCTGCAAAGTAATTTAGTGTGTGTTGGTGTAGCCTTTCACCTTAAGACATTTAGAGTGTATAATATCCAAAGTAACAGAAACGTTAGAGGGTGCAGTCATCATATGCATTTTACTTCTGATTGAAAGGGGCTAAGTCCGTGACTTCCACCGGCCAGCCCATCGACCTGTCGGAATACCCGTCGACGTGGCTAAGAGTGACGCCCCGTCGCGAGGCACACTTCAAGAGCCTCGAAAAGGCGATCAACGTCAGCGAGGTGAGTAGAGTGAGCCGCACTCCCGCACTCACTAAATTCTTGTGGACTTTTTAAGCATCTTTCTTCATAAAATGCACACCGGGATGCATAACATTATTCACACCTTACGTACGTATCTTTGCATGCATAATTATGCATAAAGGGCGCAAAATTATGCATTTTAAAAGTCCACAAGAGTTTAGTGTGTACAAGCTTTCGTTGTCTGAAGACTGATTCCGAGATTCGTTTTGTCGCACTCCTTGCTCGTTCTGATGGGTGCGAGGAAGACAGAGCGGCGAAAGAATCAGAGGCAGCGGAAACTACAAGTTTCAAGTTTCGGCGCAAACCTATCTTAAAGGCTCGCCGTATCTGAGTGCATCCACTTTCTCCATCACCATTGTCACGTTCTTCCTGAAACAGGTGGTTCGCGGCTTCTTCCCGAGCGACGTGCTCGCCGCTTCAGGCTTGTTCTACAACATCCTCCTCCTGGAACTGAAGCAGCCCGTGCACCTGATGCCCGTGTGCTTGGACTGGACTGGCGGTGCGCTGCTCAAAAAGGAGCGCCTCGGAACGGTTCGTCGCTTTGTTTCAATTTTTGGGCAGTATCGTCATTCTGTGGCAAAGAACTATGTGTGTTTGATTAGGTGAACTGAAAAGTGAGCATGATTGAGGTGTCCCGGAGGGACGGTATGGGATGTACAAATGAGGCTACCACAGATGAAAGATGAAAATCTGATCTGTAACAGCATTTTGGGGCTGGGGCTTAAGCTGCGAATCTGGAAGAGGTAGCTATTGACATCGATCCACGGAAGCATAAGTCTCTATTCATGTGGCCCAACCAACAAACATGCTGACCTGAATTCTGTGGCGCCACGTCGGAGGGTTGCTTCATGAAGTGACTGCCAATCCTAGGCGCTGTCAGACTACGAGACGGACAACTCGACGTTGTGGACGCGCCTGCCCATTTTGAACACCACCAGCTGCAAGCAATTGAGCTCGGCCCAGCCCGGCAGTCACCACGTATGCACTGTCCAAGAAGGTAAGCTTTGGAGAATCCCGGAAGGAGTGGTAAGAAACCGAAAATCTACTCCACTTCAGCACGTAGCAAGAGCTTATTCTCACTTACACATATCCACACTTGAGTCCGACAGCCGGAATCGTCCAGCCACGGCTGAGAGGTGTCCTAGCACTAGCTCTCGGACTTGAAGTGAGTTTTTACTCACAATAACATACTGACGTTTGAGCGCGTGAATAAGCGCACTAATAATATTTTTATTTTTGTATTATGCGCGAAGTTATGCACTTTGACTGCTGAATGGTGGCAAGCCGGTCCGTGGTATACTCCCCAGCTTGCCAATTATTCGAAAGCTAATGGGATTTCGAGTCGAAGCTTTGCCAAGTTTTCGCATTCAAAACTGCTTGCCAATTTAGTGGCAAGCAAACATGCCACAGGCTGCAGTGCACACTTTGGTCTGCAGAGCACTTTCCAGAAACTCCAGTGCTCTCCTCGTATTACCTTGAGTGACGATAGTCGAGGACGTGTTAAAACGCGCTGGCGCTCATTGCTTCAAGTGTTCACTCGATCATTGTCTTTTGATATTGTGTCTTTTACAAATAACTTTCTGAAGGCCCGAAGCAACTGCGAGCCCACAACAGCTTGTACGTGTTCGCCGGCAGCACATGGTTTCTGCGCGGCGTCGGGTCTGACAGTGTGTCCACACCTGACGGCACCGTCACCGCGTACACTGACATGAGCGATCGCGGCGTGCGTCAGTGGCTGTCCAAGACCAGCGACATGATCGGCAAGCCCACTGTGAGTATACCCGGCAAAACTGAAGAGTGTACTCTCTAAATGTCATGGGACTCATTGTTTGGTCCCATGAATGATGCTATTTTAAGTGCACCTGATACCCGATACAATTTTGTGTCCACCAGGTGATACAAAGTGTCTGATGCTTATTGCAAATAGCAATTTCATCGGACAAATTGTGTCACGTGGTGGACACAAAATTATGTAATCGACGGATGTGCTCTAAATTGCATCATTCATCACTCCAGTTCCATGGCATCACTTTTTAACGAAAGGGAGGGTGGGGCAGTTTGAAACAGAATTTGGAATTTCGTTATTATAATCGTACTGTTGGTCTATATGCTGCGTGTTTGCACTAGATTGATAGAATGACTCATTATCTAGACTAGAAAACGCCCGCAGACGCTTACAAGTTCGTTCAACGTTAATAATAAGGTAAAACTCCAACCCTTGCATCTGTTTCAAACTGCCCCAGGCCGGGGCAGTTTGAAACAGCGATGGGGCAGTTTGAAACAGCTGTATGGAAGTCAACACGGGCCAAGAAGAGCCGCGTACACAACTCAAATAGATTCAAGTAGACTCAAAAAGACGTTGCCATGCAAGTGCTGACATTTTGACGAACTTTTTAAACATTTTTAATAATAATTAAAAAGCCAAAAAAGCATATTTTTCAAAATGCGATTTTTTCGAAAATTTGTATGGCAATGGATTCGTCTCAAAGAGACGAACAAAAGTTGTTAACACACATTACTGTTTTGGAGTTGAAATGAAGGCCTTTTCCTGCCCGCAAAGTTCACAACATGCAATAGTCTATAAATGTTGCATTTTGATGCCAGTCACGGGTCAAACATACAATGTCTTCATTGATGCCATCTGGAATTACGAACTTCCATCATTATGCTCGCTTTCCATAATATAAAACGTTTTTTTGGTGATATTGCTGTGTTTCAAACTGCCCCATACACTTCTGTTTCAAACTGCCCCAGAGGGCACCATTCCAATTGTGCTGCTCCCCGCCGGACTTGGTGAGGGCTACGTCAGTGTCCGAGGGTGCGTTACGTTTGTCTAATATGGTACTAAAAGATGAAGTAAGTGCGCGGGAGATGATTGCTTACTAGCGAAACCCAGACGGAAACTCCCGAGACTTAGAAATTTAAGTTTAGGCCAATTTCAATGGTACCGAAGTTTCACCTTGTTTTCAAGGCCACTTAAGTGCACCGTTGGCGACCGTGTCGATCGCAAATCAGTAAGATCATGAAAATAGAAGATTGTGCACACTCACATTTCCTTCGGCAGCCCTCATTGCTTTAATATTGGTGTTTGTTTCAAACTGCCCCTGTTTCAAACTGCCCCACCCTCCCTAACGTGACAAAATATCACGTCATTTGGAACATCGCACCTGGCTGACTTTTCCACTCTCGGCCTGGCAGTGTGGCAACGTGAATCTGTGCGAGCCGCTCTCTGCCGGACTCTCGCTGCGCGGACACATGCCCTGGACGGTGGCCGTGGTGGTGGGCTCTGGAAGCGGCAGCCGCACGGAGTCCGGCATGCTCATCCAGCCGAACGCGGTGCTCACAGGTGAGAACACGAGTCACTGCACTGCAAACACTACTAAGTACACTGGTAGAACTAAAGCGCAACTGTATGCTTGAATCAAGCATAATGTCACGCCTGAAGACGTTGCGCTTGAAATCGAGCATAGTTTCTCTTCCCCCATGCATTTGGATAGGAGAAATCTGGATGCATAACCCTGCCTGCCTAGCGGATGAAGCTGTGTTTCTATCACTCAAAATGTTTGCAGACAGCGCAGCCGTAGTGAACCTGTCTGGTTGGAACGGTGACGGTATAGTCCCGACAGTGTCAACAGACTCTATCGCTGTATTTTGGACAGCCGCAGACGGTAGCGTTAAGAGAAGCCAGGTAAGTGCCGTATACCTACGCTACAAACCTAACTGTCTTACTTTACACTTTTGCAAATGCTTCTGCTTGCCTGTACACTTTTAAAAGCCTACACTGTCATTCCTGGGTGTTCAATAACTAAGCGCCTTAAGGCGTTTGCCTCAAAAACCTAGACGCCTTGATGCGCTTAGTTACTCAACGCCTAAGGCGTTTAGTTACTCAACGCCTGAGGCATTGAGTTACAAGACACCTTTGTTTGGCCTGTACCCACCACACCAAAACAAAATGCTGCCAACCTATGTAATGAAAAGAACGTCTCTTTTTTCTGTTCGTTCTTGTCTTTTCATTTAATAGGTTGGCAGCATTTTGTTTTGTTGCGTCGCAAATGTTTACGTGCGAGTTCGTGTGTGCTTCTTGGCTCGGTTTATTCCGTTTTTAGACTGTTGCAAACGAATTTGAGCGCTTCGTGGCAGTGAAATCATGAATCGAATCGAACAAAGGGGCACACCTCTAAACTCTGAAAATGTCTCCATCTACTGGGGCAGCCCAACCTCACCAGCGCCTGGTCCATTGTGGATTCTTCACAATGGAGAAAAGGACTTATATTTGTGCTTCTTTCCTTCAAGACCAAATTTATATTGCCGCCTTTTTGTTAATTTACTTTGCAACCAACAATAAGACTCAAGTTAATTTTAGGACAATATTAAGTGATGACTGCTATTTGTTGACAAAAAAATTCTGCGGTTTGGTCACACGTATTGACATCAGCCGTCTCCATCCTTAGTTGGATATTGACAACTCAGCATCATAAACTAATTTTTGACAGGTATGTGTAGTTTATTTAAACAAATGGAAAAATATGGACAAATCTCCACGCTTACATTAGCAGTGCAGGCTGCCCTGGCCCATTGTCTCAAGGTGTTTAACTGCTGCGCGCCTTGCAAGGCGTTTAATGGTAAGACACCTTCAAAGGTGCGTAGCTGCTAAACACCTTGGTTCAAACAAGGGATGGCATGGCTGTATTCAAAGACAGTCAAGCTGTTTAGCCTCTGCACACCTCCAAGGTGTCTAGCAGTTAAACGCCTTGGAAGGCGTATAGCAGCTAGACGCCTTGAATCAATGGACAAGGGCAGCTTGTATTGCATTAGTACTCCCACTGCTGTTGTGGTGGGTACAGGCCAAACAAAGGTGTCTTGTAAGTCAACGCCTTAGGCGTTGAGTAACTAAACGCCTTAGGCGTTGAGTAACTAAGCGCATCAAGGCGTCTAGGTTTTTGAGGCAAACGCCTTAAGGCGCTTAGTTATTGAACACCCAGGAATGACAGTGTACTTGGCCAAGTGCACATTTTCAAGGGTATTCCTGCAAGCACACACAAATGCAGGCTTCGCTGAGTATAAACACTTGCATGCATGCTTATGTGTAACGTGGACTTTACTGGGCCCAGCATGCAGTTTTAAGTGTTTAAACATTTACGTACTTGGCGCCAAACACGCATTTTAGTTCGCACTTGCAAGTCTCTACTAAGTCGACAGTTGAGTTAGAAGTGTAGTGGTACCCTGCGCAGTTAGTTTTCTTTTGAAGAAGCAACCCTTCCGTAATGTGTTGCTTCTGCAGGTGGTCCGTGTGCTCGTACGCGAGGGTGCCGAGGTCGGGAAGGACGGCCGGCCGCTCCTGGACGTGGCGCTGCTCGAGCTGCGTCCGGACCAGGCCGTGCTCGCCACCCCGATATGTCTCGACCTCAACGGGAACGTGCTCCAGCCGTTGGCAACCGGGCAGCTGGGCTTGGTAAGAAGCAATGACAACTGCATCACACTGCCAAGTGTCCGTCATCAGTGACAAAATTAATGTTTCGTTTGTTGGGTTTAGGAAATGCTTTTTCTGACGTGCTGTTTCCGAGTTCCCTCTGAGAATTCACTGAGATTCCAAACGATACGAACGTAGCACTTATGGGCGCAATGAGATATCGCACCATACGTGCAGTGCCATAGCCATTATTGCCCCTTTTGTGCAATGAATCACGAAAATGCCCTATGCTAATGCATGGGAATGGGAAGGCCCTTCATGTGCAAAGGAAAAGCTTCACCAGTTGATGCTATACTCGTACCTTTTGGATTCTCAGTGTTTTCTTCGAAATGCGAACGAAACGTTTTACACAGTCCTTCGTTAGTGGAGACACTGGCCCGATTCAACTGTCATAGGTCGAGGCGTGGTCCTCCTGGGGTCCTACCAATCACAGTTTGGTGAGTGTGCCGTTTATGGGACCAGCGGAGTGCAGCACCCAGCTCCGCCAGTCATCAAATCGGTCAAGGGAATCCAATGAGTTTTGCACGTCAGCCACCCCCGGCGTTCTGGGTAAGTACCGCAAAACGTCGCAGATACTGTCATTCATTCCGCGATACTTGTTATTCAAAATAAAATTTGTGATGAAACTGGATTTGCAATTTTATCGATTCATCACACCCTGAATAGTTTATCTATCGCAAAAATTTATGAAGTAGAAGTAACCACACCCCTTGATTTGGGCGAGGAAAGGCGCATTTTGAAGTACTATGATTGTTGAATGTTGCTAAATAACTTTATTGCATATTTTTGTTGGCATTGTTGCAAAACATTTCAGTGAGAAGTTTTAAACATAATGACTTTTCGGTGCTGCCATTTGAATAACAGTGAAGGTACTTGCAAATCGAGATAGCGGAGCACAGTAGCTCACGAACATGTGCTTTCGATCTAAGATCCGACGGCGGTGCTAGGAGGAGGCTTCTTGGTGTCGTCTGGCAGCCAGTGGTATCTGCAGGGACTCTACACGGGCTTTGCCCGGCTGCGCCATCGCACCGTGGGACTGGCGTCTGACTTCCGTGACGATGCCCTGAAAGGATGGATGCGGGAGGAGCTGAGGAAGATAAAACCCGGTGAGTCAGCCAGACACTGCTAGAAAAACTTCAACAATTCCTGCCAAAATTTTCAGGGAAGGACTGTACTTTCAAGTTAAAACAATAGTTGTACCAAGTGAGGAACGAGTGTTGTCTAGTCCCGGCCTCTTGTACTTTCTAGAATCCTTACTGTACACTCTATCCCTTTTATTTTCTGTATGGTGTGGTCCAAATACTCATCTCTCTCTTTTTTTACAGTGAACTTGAAGTCTCCAGACGACAGTGGGCCGAAGAACTGTGTAGGAGGGCGGCCGACTGCTACTGAGGTGAGCGAGTGCCAGTGTACCCTTAGATGAGAAAACTTTCAGGCAATGTTCGAAGTCCAACCTTGAGTCGAATAATCCCTCAGAGTGTATTGGAAAGCGCTTCTGTTGGGGATGGTCCAGGGAATCGTCGTAGCAAAAAAGTGTCAATCAATGTCGCTGAAAATACAAACTGGGTGGGACTCTCTCTGGGATTCTCTTTTCGCTACGGACTCAGTTTTCAGTTTATAGCCCCCGGTTTTTAAATAGCTATTTTGCGTCTGATCTTTTTATCACAAACCCAATGAATATCTTTGGAACAGAAATGATCCCTCTTCATATCTTCTTCCGATCACTGTGCCCTTTCCTCCGCACGTGTCTTTCTGACTGTTTGCGGTCCTGTCACCAGTGCGGCCTGTTCAACTCCAAGGATGAGCTTCAAGACGAAAACGACTTTCTCTACAAGGCGTCCAGAAACCGCATGGAGTGGAATGTCCAGGTGCACGTGTATCGCAACAACCCCGTGTGGGAGGTTCGTGGGGGCGTTCTCATTAGGACATCAATGGTAGTCACGTGTAAGTTTTTTTTTGTTTTGTCTTTTTTTTTTCGAGATGAAATACTTCAATCTCAACTCTGCTCCTACCTTGTATGCGAGTCCAGTGACCCAATGACTTCTAAACATTCTTTAAGAACAACGTTGGAAGAGATAATCATCAATTTTCTGTTTCCAGCCGCCTTAAACATGTTCTCGAGGAAATCAAATGAGTCGTCGGGCCCCGGAGAAGCCATCCGAACGAGCAACGTCCTCGTCAAATACATTACTGCCGACGGAAGAGGCCCTTTCTCTGTTGAAGTGAGTATTTTAAAAATTAATGATGGCTCGAAGTTTTCACGCCTGGTACTATATCCAATATTGATTGGGTCCTTCATTCGGAGAACACTTCGATCCTCGCGTTGACTTTATCAGTATTGTACACCCTCATTCCTGGGACGTGACTTCTCGTGACAGCACGCTGAAAGGAATGCGACAGAATGTCACACTCCTTTGAGCATTGTGTCCCGCTCGTTCGGATGTGAATGAACAATGTCATTCCAGGAATGTGACACCACGTTCAAACGAATGTGACAAATTGTCACGTTCGTTTGAGAATTGCGGCACATTCGTTTGGATGTGACTCAGCCATAAAGGTTTTCCTAGGAAGCCTGGTAGAAACATAGGCGATTTCCAGGGAGTTCCCGGTCCCAAAAACCGTTTTTACTGTGTAGTTACTCTTTTCAAACTGGAGATTGTACGTAGATGACTTCAATAAAGATTTAACCTGATGGTCTCAACACTGCATGATTACTGTCTCCTTAACAGCCAGGCTGTAAATCGCATGTAGTAAAAGCGCATAAAGTGTACATCGCATGTACGCACCTGTGTTATTGGACTCACATTCCGTGCGTTTGTTTTCTCGTTCGCAGGTAGAAGTGTGGGATGACGCCTACTCCAGCCAACGGACTCTGGTTCCTACGCTGTTCCGCACCCTGGGCGCATGCAGGATCGCACCTCCTGTAGACTTCCTCAACGCCGAGTTTTGCACCGAACCGACCTCAGGTAAGGTTTACTAATCTGACCCCAAACCTCAAACGCCGGCAGTGTCTCGTTTGCGACAGTCATCTTCCAGTGGCCTGAAGGCGTATCGATATCAACTGGAATCGTCGAATCGTCCAACCTAAATCGCCCATATTAAATGAACCCGCCCTTCTTGAAAAATCTCAAAATATAGCTCATTTTGTCCGCCATATCAAGCTGTACCAGTCCACCAAGTTTCAAGCGAATTATTTCCAGCTCAAAGCCATTATCCTAATCATTTGACTGGACTATCGTCTCAAAGGCAGGCGAACATCTCAAAGTACTTTAATTTGGAACGGCTTGATGAAAAAATGTACTAGCATCATACACGACACACCGACTTGCAGAAAAAAGATCAAAAAGCCTTTAAAATTTATGTCTGGTGCCTATCAGGATCCAACTGTGAGAGAATTCACCTGCCTCTGTCAGTAACTACTCTCCTAGCACTGCTAGTCATAACATTTTTACAGTGCAACGATTGGCCTGGATTGTCTCTTACCTACCTGCGAGGATTGTCAAACTTTTCAGGGGCGACGCGAAAAACGCCTTCAGTCGGGGCGGCCTTCTCCGTCCTGGCGACGGGCGGGGCGGGCGGCTGGTTCCTGCGCGGCATCCAGGGCACGCCCTGGAACAGCACCAAGGGGGGCACCGTGCCCGTCTTCTACAACGTGGACGAGCCCGGCCTCAGGGAGTGGCTCAACGAGAAAATGCAACTCCGGACAACCGACGGAAGCATAGGTAGGATGTTCCGTCACTGATAATCCAAATGGTAGAAGTACAACCTTTGATCCCTTTATCAGAGCACCAATAGGGTACTTCGGATGAAACTTAGACCGGAAGTGAGCGACAGATCGGGAGAAACAAAAGAGCGTCTGCTGAGCGGTGGTGGGGGTCGAAATTGGCGGAGTAGCCTGAAAGCGGCGCGCATGCTATACCCCCATTCTGCCTGTAGGGTGTTGAGCTCTGGCCCTGAAGGAGAACAAAACGGGAGTTCAAAATGGGAGTTTCTATGGGAAATGTACGCTGCGGATGAGCCCCAGACCTCATCCGAACCAGAGTCACCAGACTCAAATACCCTATTCCGGGCCACCAGCCCTCAGCATGACAGCATAGCCCCGTTTTGTCGCTGACTTCTTGTCTGGATTTCCTCCGAAGCACTCTATTGGCGCAATGCTTTTGCATCACACGTGAAGTGCAATGCCTTCTCGTACATTACCGTAGGGCGGGGACATTAGAACGCATGATGCGATGTTTCAGTATTTCTGCTGTCCTCATAGCTGGTCCACTGTGCGACCACTCACATCAGCGGTATAGTAGTGTTAACAACGGTTTGTTTTACAGTTCCTTTGCCCGAGCCGAAACTGCAACCACTCGTTCTGTCCGAACCAACCCATTCCTCAAAGGTATCATGAAATATTCAACTTGCGTCAGCTATACCGGTTAATTGTGTGCAACAAATAGTGCATACATGCCATGTATACAGTAAATGCTGCGTACATGTCCATGCACATGCTGTAAATGCTGCCATTTATGAGCAGTTGCCAAAATAAGGGTATCTTTCGTGTCTTTTGGCTTTATAATCGTTATTTTTCAACGTATTGAGATGCGGTTTGGTGCGTTGTGTTGGGCTCGACGTCGCCCACTCTTACCCATCTTAAGTCACCACTTTTTCAATTCAGAAGATGTCGATAAAGTGCTCCAAAGGGTCATTTTGTAACGTTCCGGCATGTCCCCCGTCCATAAATTCAAAGTTTCGATGCTTATATTTCAGCTAATATGGAACGTAGAAAGATTCTGAGAATATATTCGGAAACTTTATTATTTATCTATCAGACACATGTCACTGAACTCGTTTTTACGAGCTCGATTTGGGTGCAATCTGTAAACGCAAAATGTCCTCCGTGGTTGACTTTGCGGAACGTTACATGTGAATTATCACGGTTTCTCGCGTTGTACTCCACTGATAGTTCTCGGCCTTGTCGTCAGATTAATCTGTGGCATTTTTGCCGTCGAATGGTGCAAACGGGAACTCTGAGAAGTTAATAGAAAGCTCAGAATCTTGTTTTATAGGTTATGATTCGGTAGTGTCCGACTATGATTTTAAAATGCTTTTCTGTTCCCCGGGCAAGCTCTAGACCAAACAGAGATATGATTCTATCGGGACGTGTTGAGGAATCTTAAAACAGGAGCTCACACCAAATGGCGTGTTTTAATTCATAGCAAGAGAGTTACTAGGCCTGTTTGAATGGCAATGTAACGTTCCGTATCCCGCTGTTTTCTGTAACGTTCCGTGTCTTTCCCCTATACTTTTGATAGGGGCTTTTTGGTCTTTCTGCAATATTGCACTGGGAGCTCGACTGCGTTCAGATATAAGTCGTGGGACATCACTGAATAAATAGGCCGAGAAAAAAGCCGGCTTTTCCACATTTTTTCTTACGGTTCTATGGCCTTCAAAAGTGCCCCGAATTTTGGCAACTGCTCTTATACATGGCATGTACACTACTTATTTGTATGGGTCTTGGGCGCACTGATTTAATCAGTGTACCTGCGGGCCCGCACTTGAGAACAGTGTGCATGAAGTCACTGTGTGCCATGCACTTACTTGCGTTTGCAGAGTGCACTGTAAAATCTGCACGCCATGTATACAATTTGGCTGACAGCGTAGACTCTGAAACGCATTGGTCTGTGCTTCCAGTGCGGCCAGACAAATCTGCCGCTCTTCTCGCTGGCCTACAACCACACGTTGCCTGGACCTCTACCCTGGAGCGTAGCCATCTACATCGGCGACAACGATAAAACGTTTATCTCGGGAGTGCTGCTTCGCGATGATATTGTTATCACAGGCGAGTGCGGAAGGGCGAAGCGTGACACGCGCTTAAAACTGTACAAAGTATTCTGAGCATGGGTAAGGTAGAAACTGTTTACTTCGTTATGCGAAGATCTAGTTTCGTAAATTACGGAGTTCTTTCTTTGTGAGCTTATGTGTACTCAAAATACTTTGTTACGACAAACTACTTTAGTAGTAAAGGTGACCTTTACTACTTACTTTTCTTTGTAAAGTCGAAAATATTTTGCCAGGTTTTCGCTATGCAAACTGCCTCTTTTTTAAAATCGACTCGAAGTCACTGAACAGGTCGGCCTTTCAAATCCATGTGTTCCTTCTGACAAAATTTTTGCAAGCTATTCAATGTAGATTATTTTTTTCATGGCAATTCTTTTCGCGATGTGTTAAGGAGGGAGGTACCTATCGAACCCACTTTTTATCACTAGCTCTTCATGTGCTTGCGCTTCAGTGTTGCCATTTCTCTTGCAGATTCCGCAAGGGAAAATACTCCAAAAAGTTTTGTATTCCAAAATTCATGGATGAATTAGTCATATTTCTTCAAAATTCTTGAACTTCACTCTCAGACTCTCCACGGACTATTTTTTCAGTATATCTACAGTTAAATAACTTTTTCAGCAATTGTAGTACTTTTGATTGTAAGTACAGAAAAAATAACCAGCAGCCTTACAGAAAAATGGCCTGTTGATAATATTAACTGCAACTACAGTTATAATGAAGCAGAAAAAAATTACGGTTGCATTCTAGTAAAACTAATCTATAAATGGAGACAAAATGTTCTCTACATACAGAAAATATTTACAAGAATAAACAGAAAAGGTTTTAAAGAGTCGGTATAATTTCTTGGATGTTTCCGCTAAAAGTTACAACTGAACCATCTTTTAAAAGCCGCTTACATTGAGTGCTGTCTTAACTTGTCGAAATTAAAAATGTTTTGTGGGATCATTTTGACTATGCGCATTACCTTCCAATCAGCTTTATTTGAACGGAGAACAATTTCACTAAAAATATTTACTGTAGATCACAAACAAGTCAACGACAAATTATCCATAAGAGCAAACTTTATCTACTACATTTGCAGAAAATAAATTCTTTGATTACAAACAAGTTTGTCATCATATTTGTAGTGACATTGTAAATTTTCTGTATTATAGTGAAAGATTGTCTATAATTACTAAATTTGTTACCGCTAATTACCTGTATCTCATGTAAAATTTATTCGATATGTTATTGATAATATTTACTATATTATAGTTACGCTCTAAAATCACTAAGCCGTAGAGTAAATTTTCTACAGTATAGAATAAATAATCAGTAAAGGTCAGAGAGTGATTCAGTTGGAACTCAAAGAAATTCTTATAAAAGCAGTGAAGTTTGAAACGAAATTAATTAAAACTCATCCGAAGTTCATATGGCATTCAAAAGTGTGTACACTGAAATGCAGAGATATTTCGCCTTGCAGATGCCCACTTGCTGGTGGTCCCGGGGTCTGCCTGGAACGATTCAGTCGCTGTTCGCACCGTGGACCCAGCAGAGGTCCGCGTGATGTGGGTCAGCCACACTGGCCGGCGCTATGGTTCGCAGGTAAGGTAAATATACCACGTGAAAATGCAAACGGGTATCTCAAACCTCACTTTTTCCGACTACAGAAGCTTCTCTTAGCTGTTAGTGGATTCTGGTAATGCCAGAGAAGAAGTGAGACGGAAGAAACGCAAGGGTGACCCACTCTAAAATTTTGTGTACAATACTGTGCGAATGTGCAAGAATGTACTGCAGAAGATCTCTGGCGTATTTGCCACACACGTTGCATAAAGTGAAGATTCTCTTTGTTATGGGGAAAATCCTGTATATTATGGAGTTGGAGTTGACGTCATAAAATGCAATTGAGAATTCTGTGATAATTTGACGAATTTCGTTGGCATTCTGGAGAAAAACGTCACCAAAATATACTGGTGCAGCCTTTCACGTAAGACATTTAGAGTGTACTTCCAGGCGTTTCACCCCCTGGATGTGGAATGTGTTTTAAATTTTCTGCGATGAATGTGGGAAGTTCTTCTTCCCCTGGAAGCAGAGAGACATCTCTGACTCTGCCGCGCACCACCGAAGACGTCCCCCACCGAGGGGTGACCCAGTGTAAAATTTTGTGTACTATGATTGTGGGACTTTGTTAGAATTAGCGTATTTGCTACACTTGTTGCCTACTTACAGGCGTTTTTGCCACCTGAAGGTGGAATGTGTTTCAAATCTTGTACAATGAATGTGGGAAGTTGTTCCCCCCCCTCGTCGCCCACTACTCTTGTTTCCTTGCTTTCTTACTTATTCCCGGGCCGCGTAGGAATCATCCCCTGTTTTCAAACCTGAAATAGAATGGGTTGTTTGTATCTTTCGAAAAAAAAAAATCATCCTCCCCTCTTTGTTTGCAAGGTTGTCACCGTGCATGCCCGTGAGAGGGACCGCGGAGCGTATCAGACATCGCGCACGTTCGACGTGGCGCTGCTCCGGCTCAAGAAACCCTTCCCGAACAGTGGAGCGGCCTGTTGGGACCACAATCTACCCACACTGGAACGGTACCAGCTCGGCGTGGTAAGATCACTTGAAAGCTGTGAAAACTGAAGAGTTGACAGTCATGGGACATTTTTTGTCCCATGGATGATGCAATTTTTAAGCCAATCCGATGGAGATACAATCTTGTGTCCTCCAGGCGGTAGAATTTGCAGTTGGCATCGAACAATATTGTGTCTCGAGGCAGCAAGAAAATTGTAGTCTCGTCGAATGTGCTCACTATTGCAGACCTCGTGGGACAAAAACACATGTCACACGTTATTCGGCAAGTGCATGGTTGACACTTTTTTTTACCACTTGCTGTAAAAAAAAAGGTGTGCATGACAAACTTGTACTTGTGCAAGTGCGGACATTCTACTCCACCCAAAAACACTGGCACATCATACTGCTCACTCCTTTTGCAGCATGCCTGTCAAATAGACAATATCGTCAACCTTCAGATTGACTATAACAAAAGTCATCTCTTTAAGGAGTCAACCTCATACAGTCTGCAGTGTCTGTAGTGAATGATGGAACCCGGAGTTTTAATTCCATGTTATTCCTCCTGTGTTGAACTCGTGCAGACAGATGCGTGGGACGTCAGTATTCTGGACTTCCAGTCCGACGTCTTGGCCACGCCCTACGTCAACTTGATAAATGATCACTGCATCTTCAAGAACACGCCGATTCCCAGAGTCAAAATGTCGATGGAGAAGTACTGCACAGGACCGGTGAGAGGTAAGAGGTTTTAAGTTGAAACGTGGCCAAAAGCTGTAGACGTTTCTGCGCCTTGGGGAAGAAAATGGTTGCTCCAACTCAGTTATGGGGGAAAGAGGGTTTGGCATCGGAACATTCAGTTATAACGGATGCTTGGCTGCTGACTTGGATGAAAGCTTGCATGCAGTCATTATGTGAATGCGGGGTTGCATCATCATTGCTTTTACTACGTTCGATTTACAAGAGCAAACACATGTTCGTTGTGGCGTTTTTAAAATCAAATAATTAACCAGTGACTGACTTGGAACAAACAGTTTCCATTGTGGCTCTCGATTAAGAATTATACTGAAAACTTAAATGCTCTGTGACCAGCAGGCATGCTCCGGGTACACTTCTTGATCAGTGTGTTTGTGTGATTGCTCGGCTCCACAGTCGCAGTCAAGACCGGGACGGGGTTCTTGATAAGAAAGGGGGACTCGTGGTTCGTGCACGGCATCCTGTCCACCACGGTCGCCAGCGGGGACGACCGCTGGGTCATCACGGACTTGGCGGAGGAGGGCGTCAGCTCGTGGCTTCGCGAGAAGCTGGCCGAGGAGAGCGTGGATCCCACACTGCACCCCGAGGCGCCTGCCGAGCCGGCACGCCGCAGTGAGGTACCCACATCCTTACCGACATTTTGTCGTTATGTTTATAGACTATTGGGTACATTGATAGAAGTCCATTAAGAAACGTAACAGATTTGTCCAGACGAAATTGACTATGATGTTTCTAAAACAAATAAAAATGTTAATATGCTTAATAATGTGCACAGTTGTCGATACGTCATTGAACATAATCTCAGTACGAGTCTGCGACTGTAACTGAGGCATTCCATGGCGATAGGTGTTCGCAGAGAGTCAGAAACATCTGTTCGTGAATTCCGATCTGAGAGAAACTGATGTGTGGGGTGTTTAGTTCTTCCCTTGTCCAGTTTTTCCCCGCACTGACTCCATAACAAACCAAATAGTTAGGACGTAACAAGACCTCAAAATACTTCGTAAGGTTTTAAGCGTCCGCTCCCCTGTGTGTTAAGGTCCCCTTTTGCCTACGTTCCCGGCAATATCAACACTTGTTCTAAATTTTGGTAAATAATATTTTGAATGGGTGGTTTAGAGACCAATTTTTCTCTCCCGAAGTTTTGAACCAATTCTGCCAACACATCAGATTCTTGTTCGGGGTTGCCATAACTGATTTATTTTCTGTCACGGGCTTGCTCGTTGCAGTGCGGAAAGACAACGATACCTTTGAGCTCTTTGGCGGATAACGGCACACTGGCTGACCATATGCCCTGGACGGTGGTGGTCTACAGGAAGGACCCTAATGGAACCATAAGGATGTCACCTGGGGTACTCGTTCGAGTCGATGCCGTTTTAACCGGTGAGTGCTTCGGTGCTTCGTTTAACAAATCTGCACTGGTAAAACTAAAGCGTAAGTATTACCTTCTGTTTTCAAGCGTAATCAGATTACGCTTGAAATAAAGCGCGACAGGCTCATCTGCAAAGATTCCCCCTATCTAAATGCATGGGGGGATTTCCAGAGTATGCTCCATTTCAAGCGTAACGTCTTCAAGCGTGACTTAATGCTTGACTCAAGCATAGAGTTACGCTTTAGTTTTACCACTGTGTCTTGTGAATGAATTAAATCTGACATTTGCGCAAAAATCTGACCTTACGACTGCACAGCGACTTCTAAGGTGCGCCATGCAATAAGAAAACTGTGAGGAATTCTTCTTTTTTTTCTGACGTTTATTTCCGGTCCGTTTAGACGCCTCTCTGCTTGTGGAGCCTTCGGGTGAGGGCAGTGACGTGATGCGTGCCGTGGATCCTGAAAGTGCGTTTGTTGTTTGGTTTACCCCATCCGGGAGAAGACGTCGATCGAATGTAAGTGGTGGATGTCGAATCCAACTTTAAATTCTCGGATTCCAATAGCGCTGATGACAGATGAGGCCGAATCAACTGGTGTAAGGTATAGACATGAATTTTGAGATGAAGCCAGCCTCAGCAGCCACTTTTGGCAGATATTTCGCAGCCCTGTTGCATTTTTTACACAGGAAGAAAGTCTACGAATAGCAGCGCTTTGGAATACGAAGAAAACGAAGACATTGTAAAATTTAGGAAGAAATGCTTCGTAATACGAGTCAAATCTGCCATGCCTTCAGTTCCTATGAAGACGACACAGATTTTTTTCAGCGCAAATCTAAATGGTTTCTGGGAGAGGATGGTCGACGGGGGTATTCTGTGATTGTTCGAACTATCAGTGATGCTTCTGTGACAGGTGTTGAAAATCTTCGTTGGCGAGAAGTCCCACCGCCTCGGCTCCAGCAATGCCACTTTCAATCTAGCCTTGCTGCGTCTTGGATCGCCATTCCTCAACAGTAGTGTTGCCTGTCTTGACCTGGAAAACACGCTTCCCGGCCTTCTTGAGGGAAAGATGGGCGTGGTAAGTGACCTATACCTTACTGGTAGTTATTTCCAGACAGTTTCTTACTCGTTCTTTAAACACAAACAAATGAAAAGTGGTATAGTAAAGAGAACGAGTATTGTGCTCAAAAATTTTTTTTCAGAGGATATCATTCATCTCAGAACTTACAACATGTACAGAAAAGACAATGGTATCATTTTGAAGTGCAGAAGTCCGTCAGTAAATCGTAAACGGATTGTTTTTCGACTTTCAATGGAAAATTTTGAGAAAACGAACATGTAAAAAACGAGATTTTGGGGCCGGTGTCGAAACTAACCTCATTTCAAGCTCTTATATCTTTTCACCAATAATGGTACCCTTAAATTAACCATTACGAACATGAACTCCTATATTCAGTTAATATAAAACCTGGAATTTTTTTTTATCACGCACAATGATAAATTCGAAAGAAATATCAGGTTAAAGATCGTGTTGAATGAGCTTCGGCTGGACTTCGGCAGGCCGCTCCGCGCGCCGCTCTGGGGGTGCCGAAGCGGGGGCGCGGAATTCTAAACACAATGTGGAGCGGCAGAGCCTCTCTCAACACATTGAACAGGGGCAGGATAAGCGAGGTGATGTAGATCATTTTACAATCCACTTTTCATTTGCATAATAGTAAAGAACGAGTCCTTTCATCTTAATATCAATTGATTGATATTATTCAGCACTTTGTGTTTTTAGCTTTCTTTACTTCTTGTTTATAATTTTAGGTGAACTATCTCGTGACAGTTTTTCCAATTTTAGGTGTACATTCTCGAGGAATTATTTCTTCTTCGCCACCAAGGATTTTTAGCTCTATGTATACAGTTCTGTCTTATTGATACCCAGTCGACTTCTTCCTAGAAGTATTGACTTAATCTATTTGCAGTGTTCCTTCTGATGTTGAAATTTTAAACTGGAAAACTTCTGAAATCGTTAAAGGTTGTTGTCGCCCTTTTTGTACTCTGTGAGGCTTACACATTCTTGCTAATCACTTATATCCTTACAGATGGAGACTTGGAACGGCGACCCTTTCTGGTTCTCTAACAACATCGTGGCGACAACCTTTGTTTCCAACGCAGACTGTATGCTTGTTCAAAAGTCGGCAAATGTTACCTCGGACATGCTTTGCACGAAAGGTACGTATGAAAGATTGTGTCCTGGTCAACGCAACCACCATAGTTGCTTGGTGAGTCGAGTCATCCATGTACCCGTGAGTTCACTGAACTTGGATCACTGAAGTGACGATGAAACGTTGTCATGTTCTCACCTTGCAGTGTCAAGTAGTACTTAACTTTGCTCAGAAATACGCCTGTTTGTCCCTTGATCTAATCTCTCTCACGTTTTGTTCGCCCAGGAACGAGAGCTCTGGAAAGCACGCTGAAACCAAGAAAAGGAGTCAAAGTGTTACGTAAGTCAGCACTTTATAAATGTTTGAAAATTAGGGTGGAAAGAGGAATAAATTTAGGACTCTCTCAAATGGCCACCAAGGAAATTGGACGAGGCCGAACTTGTGCTCGATACTATTGTGCTCAGGGAAGGAGAGGCACGCAGCTCACAAGCTCGTTTAATTTTTAGACAGCTGCCTCCAAGCGAAAGACATGCACTTTGACTTCTTGTAAGAAGCGGATTTCATATTTACAGAGGTTCAACCATTTAAGAGGGCAGTAGCGTCATTTGCGCGTGTTTTGATGAACCTCCTGTTTAGACGATAATATAAAGATAAGTATGAATGCCAGAGACAAACGGAAGGCACCATCTTAAAAAAAAAGTTTTTACAACATTTTCAAAAAAAAAAAAAATATTTTGTTTTAGCATTGAATTTGGATATTTTGTGTTTTATGCAAAAATGGTCTGCAAAATTACATGGTGTCACTGCGCGCACGATTGCAGCCAAAGTTTTTAACTTTTTACCAATCGGTAAAATGCATCTGAAAAAGCATGAAATTGCCCATAAAATGACCCTTGGGTTTCAATATTGGGCAAGAAAAAAAACTATTGAAACGCTCATCTTCAACTTTAGATGCAAACGAACCACATTTTTTCTTGCCCAATATTAAAACCCAAGGGTCATTTTATGGGCAATTTCATGCTTTTTCAGATGCTTTTTACCGATTGGTAAAAAGTTAAAAACTTAAGCTGCAATCGTGCGCGCAATGACACCATGTAATTTTGCAGACCATTTTAGCATTAAACACAAAACATCATAATTCAATGCTAAAACAAAATATATTTTATTGAAAATGTTGTAAAAACTTTTATTGGCGAGCGATAGCGAGCCCTTGCCGTGGTTGGGCCGTCCGAAAACTGACTGGTCATGCGTCTGTCTGTCCGTCTGTATGTAATGTACACGCTCACGTTTCTCAGCAACTACAACACTAATAGTTCCCAAATTTTGCACCGAACATCTCCTAAAGCTCCCACAGGGGGAGTTTATCTTATGTTCACGATTACTACCGTTTGAAATATTCAAAACATCTTTTTGAATTGGGTTCTTAGCGTGGTTAGGGTTGGCAGCATATCAATTTTTCATACTTGCGACCGCGGCCAGCCGCGGCTCTTTAACACGGGACTAGCCAAAACATTGTCAAATAAAACTAAATAGAGAGCAGAAGGGCTTAGAAGTAAGTTCGGTCATAGTTTTTCGATATTCTAGAATGACACTCCTCCGGAGTGTCAACACAGTGAAATACGGAAAATGAAAGCGACAATTATTACGCGTTTCGTCCGTCCGTCCCCTCCCCTCCCCCGCCACAGGGGAAATGTTTTAGTCGGTGGAGTGTGTTTGATAATTGCAAGAATGTTTTGGTCTTTTTAAGCTTTGAGAGTGTATTTCCATTTTTATTCTGAGACATTATACTTTTTAGTTGTTTGCTTTGCTCAATAACAGTTAGAAAATAGATTAATACAATCTAAAAGTACAAACCAGACACTAATCTTGCCAAAATAAATAGTCTTTGCTGACTCTTGGCACAGACTCTGGGAAAAGGCTTCATTGCAATGCTGTAAGTTTACTATAGTACTAACCTTAAGGGGGGACATCGCTCCAAAATAAAAAATCGCAGCTTTTTTTTATTAGTTTATACTATAGACCATTCTTTTCTGCGTCGAATGGCGAAAACCGCATTCCGAAATTCAAAAAATTGCAGTTTTGGGAGGTTGTGGGCCGCAAACATGCATAGGGGAAAAGCCCAGTTTCCACAACTTTGATCGCGTTTTTCTCGGAACATGAAATTGCAAACGGTTGCAGGCCTCTAGGGCGCAGTTTTTGAGCTACAGCGGGGAGATTTAGCATGGAAGCTCCTACGACACGCCGCTATGGTGGGTAGCAAAATAATTTGCATTGGTCAATTTTTATTATTTTTTTAACGTTCAAAATTGAACAATTTTGACCAAAAAAATTGAACAATTTTTTTGGCATGTAACAAATACAACTTAAAATGATTTTTTAAATGTGATTGAGGTACCCACCATAGCCAGACATCTCAGGAAGGCTGTCACCAAATTTCGTTGTTCTAGGTCAAACCGTTTGGCGTCCAGCGCTGCAACCGTGCGAAATGGTCTAACCTAACACTCAAAAATGCGTTTTCAACGACAGCGCTGTACTGCCCTGGCGGATTGACTTAATGTTGTTTTCTACTTTATCTGTTAAAATATGAACAGTTTTTCTCTTTCCGTTTGGTTTTTATGACGATTTTACAAAAGCTCTGTATTCGGAGTGATGTCCCCCCTTAAAGATAACCATACGGTGAGTGAGTGTACTCTGCAAACCTAACTGTCTACTAAGTACACACTTACAATTGCATGCTTGCAAGTACACACTTACAAACGCATGCTTGGCCAAGTAGGGTAAGGTTACCAAACATGGATCACATTTTAAATAATCTTCTCTATATCGAAATTAAGTATGGGTTGACTACTATTTTTGAATCTTATGTTGATGTTTACCTCACTGGTCGTATGGCTACCAAAAATGGTACCTCTAGCTCGAATACTTTGGAAGTTGTGAGGACAAGAAAATATGGCTATTTTTGCTAAGGTTAGGTTAGGGTGGTCCAATCATGGATCACCCCACCAGCGTTTGGACACAAAGCAAGGTATGCATTCAGTAGTCCCAAAATATCAAAGTGGTCCGTCTAAAGTGCACGATGAAAAATTTTGAAGTGACTGCGGTGATTGCTTGGCCCAGAATCAGGGGTGCAAAAATCACCTTTTTAAACGTCATTTTTCCATCGATTTTCGGGGGCCTGTTTTAGGTGTCTTTCTAAACGCAACCCTGCAGAGTAGAGAGACGCAGTTGCAAACTTGTCAGATTCACATCGAACAGTCAAAGGGTCAGTCTAAGCAAGGAAAGACAGAAATTTAGAATCTGGCCACCTGGTCTTTAGATATAGACCCCCAAACAGAAATGGTCCATGTTTGGTACCCCGATCCATGTTCGGCACTTTACCCTACACACTTACAAATGCATGCTTGCAAGTACACACTTACAAACGCATGCTTGACGCCGTATAACTCCATGCGTCAAGCATGCGTTTGTAAGTGTGTACTTGCAAGCATGCATTTGTAAGTGTGTACTTGGCCAAGTATGCGTTTGTAAGTGTGTACTTGCAAGCATGCATTTGTAAGTGTGTACTTAGTAGACAGTTAGGTTTGTAGTGTAGCGCATACAAGGTTTGACATTGACATCTGATTCAATGAGACGATTCAGTGACTTGATCATATGATTTCATGAGACGATTCTTTTAACTTCATCATACATTGTTTGCGACAACTGGTAATATGTGTCAGTCATGGTTTGAGTTGGCTCTCTTTTTGGCTGAGCGATAGCGAAGCCTGTTACTCCAGTGCGGTTGAAAAGTTTTGTCTGTCTGTCTGTCTGTCTGTCTGTCTGTCTGTGTGTGTGTGTGTGTGTGTGTACACTACTACTCCTGAACGGCTCGGCCGATCTGGCTGAGATTTGGCAGGCTTATTAGGTATGTTCTTGGCTCGACACAAGCGAACTTTCACCATCCTAGCTCAACTGGTTCAGTTTTTATAGCCGAAAAACACCTAAAAAACGGCGAAAAATCGAGTTTTCTGCAGGTAGATCACCTCTGTCTTGAAGAAAGGGGGGTCTGGGGGGCGGAGCCCCCCAGCTCCGACAAGTAAAAAAGTGACAAGGGACAAGATCGTGTTATCTGTAGATGAAGCAACTCTATCTAGAATTAAGGGGGTCTGGGGGGCGGAGCCCCCCAGCATGCAACACGTAAGAAGTAACCGAAGGCAGGCTAGCGCCGCAGGCCAAGGTAGGTACGCCAGGCGCGGATTGGAGGAACAGGCCGCGAGACATCGCGAAGCCTGTTACGACAAGACGCGGTCTGGCGTAAACCTACCTTGTAAATTTACTTAGAATGTTAGGTAAATACTTATGCTATACTGTTTTAAAGATTAAATATCACATCATGACTATCATTATGAACAAGGTAGGTTTACGCCAGACCGCGTCTTGTCGTAACAGGCTTCGCGATGTCTCGCGGCCTGTTCCTCCAATCCGCGCCTGGCGTACCTACCTTGGCCTGCGGCGCTAGCCTGCCTTCGGCAGACATTGGCTTGTCCATCGTCGGTTACTTCTTACGTGATGCATGCTGAGGGGCTCCGCCCCCCAGACTCCCCTTCATTCTAGAAAGAGTTGCTTCATCTACAGATAACACAATCTGGACCCTTGTCACTTTTCAACTTGTCGGGGCTGGGGGGCTCCGCCCCCCAGACCCCCCTTTCTTCAAGGCAGAAGTGATCTGCCTGCAGAAAATTCGATTTTTCGCCGTTTTTTAGGTGTTTTTCGGCTGTAAAAACTGAACCAGTTGAGCTAGGATAGTGAAATTTCGCGTGTGCCGAGCCAAGAACATACCTAATAAGCCTGCAAAATCTCAGCCAGATCGGCCGAGCCGTTCAGGAGGAGTAGTGTACACACACACGCAGACAGACAGACAGACAGACAGACAGACAGACAGACAGGAAAAACTTTTCAACCCCACTGGAGTAACAGGCTTCGCTATCGCTCAGCCAATAAGATTAACTTGCGTTTAGCGAAAAGTGGGCTCGACATGGGATTCTATGGTACAATTCAGTGGATCTCATAGAAGGTCTTCTCCGTAAAGTAGTTGCAATCAGCCTGCCTGTAAATGTGTCCCCTTTTAACTAATTCAGATAAATCAATATAGTTTCATCCACTAGTTTAAAATAAAAGGAAGATAAAAGGCTTTATAGGTATTACTAACAAGGTAGGTTTACGCCAGACAGCGTCTTGTCGTAACAGGCTTCGCGATGTCTCGCGGCCTGTTTCTCCAATCCGCGCCTGGCGTACCTACCTTGGCCTGCGGCGCTAGCCTGCCTTCGGCAGGCATTGGCTTGTCCGTCGGCGGTTACTTGTTGCATCCTGGGGGGCTCCACCCCCCAGACCCCCCTCCATTATATATAGAGTTGCTTCATCTACAGATAACACGATCTTGACCCTTGTAACTTATTAACTTGTCGAAGCTGGGGGGCGGAGCCCCCCAGACCCCCCTTCCTTCACGACAGAAGTGATCTGCCTGCAGAAAACTCGATTTTTCGCCGTTTTTTAGGTGTTTTTCGGCTATAAAAGCTGAACCAGTTGGGCTAGGATAGTGAAATTTCGCGTGTGCCGAGCCAAGAACATACCTAATAAGCCTGCAAAATCTCAGCCAGATCGGCCGAGCCGTTAAGGAGGAGTAGTGTACACACACACACACACAGACACACAGACAGACAGACAGACAAAACTTTTCAACCGCACTGGAGTAACAGGCTTCGCTATCGCTCAGCCAATAACCTTGCGTATTCATAAGTTCAACAACAAGGAGATATCGAATGGTAATTGAGGCATTTGTGAATCGTATTAAGCAATTCAATGCTGGCAGTTGAATGTTACTCGACTGAGTAACAGGGTCAGGGTTCATGGTACCGTGAACAGGAAACACACTTAAAAATTGCGTTCATGTTAACAACAGCAGACCCATACTTATTCAACTAGATTTACATGACTTTGGGACAAAATTTCCTCGGTGAGTCATTGACTCCTGCAGTATTTGGTGTGCTGATCACAAAAATGACTTTTATTTTCACCCCAGACCTTTACTTTTCCAAATATTTACCAATTTTGTACCAAAACTTTTAAGTCGAGTTTTACATAGTTTCCTGCAGTTTTTGGTGTGCTGATCACGAAAATGACTTCCAATTTCATCCCAGACCTCTACTTTTCCCAAAATTTACCAATTTGTGACCAAAATTTCAAAGTTGAGTTTCCCATTGTTTCCTGCAGTTTTCAGTAAGATAATCACGAAAATGACGTTAAGTCCGGCCCTTTCGTTATGGAAGACCCTGTATTGGCATTGCACACAATCTTCGCCATCTCCCATAAGAATGTGTTCAGACGCATCGCTTGCCTACTACGCGCCCAAACTAAACGGCGCGTACCCCTAGTCTTTAAAATGGTGCCTGCCGTTTGCCTCTGGCATTCATACTTATCTTTATATTAACGTCTAAACAGGAGGTTCGCAAGTCGTCAAAACACGTGCAAATGATGCACTCTCCGACACTCCACGGACATTTTTTTCAGTAAACCTACAGTTTAATTATTTTTTCTGCAATTGTAGTCCTTTTGATTGTAAGTACAGAAAAAATAATCAGCAACCTTACAGAAAAGTGGTCTGTTGATAATATTTTCTGCAACTACAGTTATGATCAAGCAGAAAAAAATTACTGTTCCATTCTAGTAAAAATGATCTATAAATGTAGGCAAAATGTTCTCTACATACAGATAATATGTACAAGAATTAACAGAAAAGATTTTAAAGAGTCAGAATAACTTTTTGGATGTTTCCGCTAAAAGTCACAATTCAACCATCTCTTAAAAGCCGCTTACATTGAGTCCTTTCTTGACTTGTCGAAGCTAAGAATGTTTTGTAGGATCATTTTGACTAAGCGCATTACCTTCCACTCAGCTTTGTTTGAACGGAGAAAAATTTTACTGAAAATATTTACTGAAGATCACAAAGTAGTCATCGACAAATTGTTTATGAGCACAAACTTTATCTTCTACATTTGCAGAAAATAAATTCTTTGATTATAAACAAATTTGTCATCATATTTCTACTGACATTGTAAATTTTCTGTAAGTAAGTAAAAGATTGTCTATAACTACCAAATTTGTTACCGCTAATTTATCTGTATCTCATGTAAAATTTGTTCGATATGTTATTGAAAATATTTACTATATCATAGTAACGCTCTAAAATCAGTAAGCCGTAGAGTAAATTTTCTACAATATAGAAAAAATAATCAGTGAAGGTCTGAGAGTGTGCTACTGCCCCCTTAACCTGAATGCGTTGCCTCTGTGTTGCAGTTGACGTCAAGCCCGGGACAGGCTTCTTTGAGCGAAGCGGCGACGCGTGGTTCGTCCGGGGCATCGTTGCGTTTTCCGGCGGCTCCGGCGAGGACCGACTCGCCGTCGTGGCCCTGGCGGACTCCAGCACGAGGGCGTGGCTGCGTGAGAAGATGTCGGTGGGCGACGACGCAGCGCATCTCTAAGCATCATCGCAGCTGTGGGAATGCACTAGCATCCTTCAATCGACATGCAATCAACCTTCATGTGTGCACATAAATGGAATTTTGTTATAAAGAAGCTGAACAGATTTGTCAATGCGAATTTGATGTAAACGTTTCTTAAACAAATAAAAATGTCACTTTGCTCATTAATCGCACAAATGTCTGAACAAAAGTCATTACGAGTCTGAGAGCGTGGATTTTTTATAGCACAGTAAAACATCGACAACGTGAATACGAACAATACTGGCTTCAGATTATTACCGCAGATTGTTTTAGTTAGCGTTCTCCTTGCCACATGCCAGTAGCACATGATGCACGGATTATTAATATTAAAAATGTTCAAAGAGGAAAAGCTTACAAACTAGCACACAATGATATCAAAGTGAGTAACTTTTTAAACAAGCTAGGGCCCGCCCTTCCGTCGAACCGAGTTGCCAGCTCCGCTTCGCTGCGCCGGCAACTCGGTTCGACAGGGGGCCGGCCCAGCTTGGCCTGCCGGCGACCTTTTCTCGGGCCTTCGGCCCTCGCATCAGACCCAACTTGGCCAAGGCCCGGGCCTTCGGCCCGCTCGCATCACACACACCGTGAGCGGGTAAAGCAAAGTTATCGATGTACCATCGTGACTTAGGCCCGCCCTTCTATTCACAATATGCAATAGTCCTTACACTTTTTACTCCAACTGTCCTTAGAATATGCCCATTTCATTTGTCTCTTCGCCCTCATTCCGAAAATACCAGTATTTGCCATGCTACTGCAACTCCTTGCAATAGAGGCACAGCAGGAGCGCAAAACGAGTCCGTCGCACTTTTTCCCATAACTCATGAAGGCGGGCTCCTGGACCCCCCTTCCGACCCCTCGTTGAAGAGGTCTTGCCAAGACCTATCGAAAACTTAAGTAAAAATTTTCATTCGGTCGACCCCTTTTTTTTTAAGATCCTGATGTGACTAATAGACGAAGTCGGGCTCCTGGACCCCTTTTCCGACCCCTCGTTGAAAAGGTCTTGCTGAGACCAATCGAAATTTTTTTAGTCGGTCGACCCCCTTTTTTTGAAGATCCTGATCTGGCCAACTTGTAAAAGCGGCCGATGGGGTCGGGACCAGGTCCATTCATCTTGTCTCGTCGCCCCGATTCCAAAAATACCCCTATGTGCCCTGCTAGCACCAATAATGGCGGAAATCCCCCTCCCGCTCATGTAAACCATGATGCACCTGCAGCAGCCCTTGTGCGACCCGGACGGGATTTGCACCACCGGATTATTTGTTTGGACGGTACTCCTGAAGTACCCTCCAAATCTGGTTACTCTAGCTCAACTCCTTCCTTGTACACAGACGCCAACAACAACAACAACAACACCACACAGACACAAAGGCCCCCTATTTTTTGAATAGAAGGGCGGGCCAAAAATATTCCTTTTGATACATCTTGTCCCTGGTCCCTAAAAGATCCTGTCTCACCGTTTCCTGGAAAGATATGATCTGGTCATTCCGGGGAAAACGTCCTCTATCTCTAAGGCGGGCAAATTTCTCAAAGTTTTATCAGCTGAGGGAAGCATAAAGAAAACAGGTATAATCCTGTACTTGACACCGACTTCCACAGGAATGTTCGTAGAAACCAGTATTGCTCGTCCGTTTTCTCTCTGATCCGAGCCTGCCCAGTGATCAACCTGGGAAAAATTCGCGGGCATTTTAGCTGATTACCACTTAAGATCATTTTCCAGGAAACAGCACTGAAAATAGAAAGGTCAGACTTTTGACCCCTACATCGGTCTTACCGAAATGTACGACCGAAAAAGGGTCATACTGAAATGTAAGACCGAAGAAAGGTCATGCTTCGATGTATGACCGAAAAATGGTCCTACTTTATAGTGTATCACAGGTAAAGGCTGACATATCCCCAAGCTAAACAATAGCCAGTCTCGCTGATGTGTGACCTTTTTAGGTCATACATTTAAGTATGACCCTTTTTCGGTCATACATTTGTGTATGACCGTTTTTCGGTCATATTTTTTGTATCACCGAAAATCGGTCAGATGTCTCGGCCTTCGAATTTCAGTGAGTGAGATGAGATCTTTTGAACGGGACCTCACGATTTGAGGCCTTATTTTAAACGAACGATACGCTAGCTGATTTTTTATTTGAAACCCAAATATCAATTTAAAAACTGAGACAATACTGTTACAATTTGACTATGGAAGTAAAACAATGAATAAGACAATGTTCCAACCTGATTCAGAGGCTGGTAGGCAGGGTTGGACCGAAGAGCCCCACGCGGCGGGGAAACATGTAAATGAAGTAAACACATTTTTTTAAATCCAGCAACGAATAAGCACGTTGTGGTGGAATGTAAATATTTAGAACAGTTTGTTTTGTTTTTCTACTCCCAAAAATTACCGGAATCTCAGCCTCGCTCGGTAGCCTACGCTGAGTGACAATAGTACTTAGTAACCTTATGAGTAGTAATACTCTGGAAACTGAGGAGTGTACGTACATGGTTGACTGTTTAAGTGGCAAGGTGGCGCCAGGATGTATGCACTAAATGTTCTAGTTAAAACTTTGAACACGACGTCCGTACCAATGTGTACATTCGACTTCGTACAAAATTACGTGCAGTTTTTCGTACGAAAATTGTATAAATGTTCATCCGCACAAGAAACTGCTATGTCTGGTTAAAAATTGTACAGAACATTAAGTATATACATACCAACTCTTTCTAACAGCTTGCTTGTCTAGTGTAGCAGACGTTGCGTCAACTTTAAGGTCTAATGAGAGTCAACTATGTACACTGTTCAGTTTGACGAGTACTGGACTTTCAATCTCTAGTTGATGGCGGTAATCGCTCGATTCTATCATTTTCCACCCCGGACTGCACTGCGGCACACCAGATAGGTGGCTGCGCGACTTATGGCGGTCGAATAGGACGTCGCACAGAGCGGCAAGTAGCGCAACAACAGACGCATGGCCCACAGCTGTAGGGTGTCCGACCAGGCGAGGGTCTTGCTTAGGTTAGTTTTCTGTCCCAGCATATCTTCGGTCAGGTAGGCTAGGCTGGCCCTGAAGGAGGGAGCAGGTATGTGCTCCGTGAGGCCTTCGGTGATGCATGTTATCATGTGCTCCCAGTGAGTAACGCTCTTCGCGTCCATAGTGCGGAGGTGTGGGCTGCAACAGACCGGTAATCCGAATAAAAACATGACTTTTCTGGCGCAGGAAGTAATCAGGCCTAAGTAATTGCGTGTGTCAATCGGGAATCACGTCGAAATTATCGAAGTCACTTAAAAATCGCGGGTGCATTCCACCCCACCTTAAAATAATAACAGCCACATTAACGGGGAGATCCCTGGGATAGCAGAGCATGGAATTGGCCAATTCATTCAATGAAAAGGAAATTACCTTGATTGTTATGCACAATGTAGACATCGTTGCTCAACAACGTAGGAAATTTGTTACACCGTTGGAAATTTAATTGCCTATGATGTTGAGCAACGATGGCCCGACGGAAAGAACTTGCCCTAACCGTTGAAATGTTCAGTTCGAAGAGGATCATCCCCTTCCATCCTTGGTTCGACTGTGGCATACTCACACAACCATAAACCGCAGGATTAGTTCAGATCGTTTCTGAACAGTCTTCAGGTCCCCCAGAGCGCAGTTGAACCGATCCTCAATGCCCAAGCAGTAGCCGAATACCGCCCACATGTGCGAAAATGCCTGCGGACAGATGTGCCGCGCGCTGAGATTCGACGATCTTCGATTCGCATTCCAGGAGCGTGACATCACGTGCAAACGAGCTCGCGCTCGATTCAATGTGAAAAAGCTAAGTTATATAGCTCATTCACATCCAAACGAGCTTAACACAATGCTCAAAAGAGCGTGACATTAAGACGCGCTCTTCAGGCGTTTCCGGGCGTTTCTGTCCCATTCCCATGATTTTACGCGTCCTAGGGGTACGCGCATAGTGTGGCTGAGCGATGCTAATTAGTTTGTGCACTTCGGACTTTCCTTAAACGAGTGAATTAAACAATATAGACTGGAATATGTAATCATAGTTTATATAAGGTGACTCACTCTGTTAGGAGAAGTTGTTATTTTACAACAGTAATCCCCACAATTAGTGTTGTAATTTTACAAATAATAAAATTATTTACGTTTTTACATTAAATAAGTACAAGAATCATGGAGGTGATGTCAGCAGGTATACAGTCCCACCAGGTACAATCCCACCAGGCATAATTCCCACCAGATATACACTATTTTATTTTATTTACGCGGATTCCCAACAAGTATAAATCCCACCAGACATACAGGTATTAATAATAGATTTTTATGTGTGTCAGCAAGTGTAATTCCCATCAGGTATACATCCCAATAGGTATATAAATGACCAATTGTCATATTTTCGACAAACTTTACTCATAAATGTGGGAATAGATCAGTAATTAGTAATTTGACGATGAATTCTTAATGTTACTGACGAAAGGAAGTAGTTTTACTGATAAAATCGGTATCTTACGACTTTTCTCGATTTATCATGCGTATACTTGTTTTCTTACAAAGCAACCTTACTTTTATGAATACTGTATTTGCCTGTTAAATCTGTACTACGATCTGCATTGTTTTTTACAACGTAAATTGTAATTTGACAAATTGCTCATTTTACAAACTGCTTCTTAAATTTACAGGTAAAATCGTTAATTTACAAGTATAATTGTAAAAGCAAGTCTGAAAAAATGCGTTTTCGTCCGTTGTTTCCTTACAATATAGGAAGAAAAAGTGCCTGAAACGACCAAAATTTGAGGATTAAGTTTGTAAGTTTAAGGTACATTGACGAAAAAGAGATGGATGATCAGATCGTTTTTGAAATTACAAGCAGTTTGTGGTACAGATTTAACAGCAAATCAATCGTAATTTCACAAAATAATCCCGAACAGTGCAGTTTAGGGCAGGTTGATCTGAAGCAGGAGACGGAGAGCAAATTTTGTCAAATTCAGTGAATCGTCTCACGAAATCCAATGCAGAGGCCACTTGTTGCTCAATACGCCCACACAATTTATCTTATTCATGTCTTGTGATATATTTTATCTTTGGAGTAAAAGATGACAGTATAGTATTAACATTGGGCATTGGGCTCAAGTTCAGACAGCCAGCTTTTAAAGCATTACGAGTACTAAGTTCCAGTTGCCGGACACAAACTTTGGTGAAGTGAAAGGAATCGTCTCATTAAATCCAACTACCAAGTCACCCACCGCTCAAAATAGTGTTCTGGATTGGGCGGTCCGGCCGGTCCGGCCAATTTCGTTGCCCACGGAGCGACTGCAGCGCTGTGAACGCCTGGGTTCGCCACCGGCTGCCTCCGGAAGCACTTCGAAGTTTTCGGAAGGAGGCATGAATACCCCTCCTCACCCCTCGCCCTAGGACAGCGCGACAGGTGCTGCCCTCCAGGAGGCAAAAGTTGGCTCCGGCGGCTATCGGTCTGCCGGGTACCCGAGCGACCGACGGGGTCGGGCGGTCCACGGAGCGCCCTGACCGACGGCAAGCTTGGGCCGGGCGGTCCGGTCCGAGCAACGGCAGCGCCATCGGTCCGCGCGAAACGACACGGACCGCCCAATGCAGAACACTAGCTCAAAACCTGAACCAAAATCTGTTAGCATTGAAAATACATATAAATATGTATGGATCCCTTTAATCAACAGATGTTAGTGCTAGAATATTTATGTTAGCATGCAGCATTGCAATAGAATGTCATTTCCCGAGCCAAACCAAGACAATTAACGTGTCTTCTTATTTCAACAGAAGTAATTCATGCATTTACCTGACTTGATTTACTTTGAAATTTGAAAATAAAGATGGTATCAGAGAAAATAAAATCAGTAGATGCACACAAAGTAAAAGGCAAAGAGAACATTCTATATACAGTCCACAACTACAGTCACAGTGCACTGACCTGATGGAAGATTCCCCTGTGACGGGGGAGGGGTGAGAGGGGAACGAAACACGCAAACCATTCTCACTTTCAGTTTTCGTATTTGGGTGGTTTGCATCGAAACGTACTTACATCATTTGTCCCTCTCTTTTTTTGGCTCCGTCCAGCCACGGACGAGGTTTTTCGACTCCGGTTTCAAATGCTTCTGATATGTTGGTGACGTCCTCAGACTGTCACACGAAAACCGACTGAATTGGGTTGGGGGTATGCCCAAAAATGACTTGAAACGATCGCAAATTCTTAACTAACTCCACTGGTGAAACAAAGGCATTAAAATTATGCCCTTCAAGGGCGTAAACGATTTACGCCCTTGAAGGGCATAAATCGTTAGTGCCTTTGGGAAGGGCGTTAAAATTTTGCTTGAAATTACTATACCATTTACGCCCTTCCCAAGGGCATACAACGATTTATGCCCTTGGGAAGGGCGTAAAAGAGTATTTATGCACTAAAGGGCGTAATTTTTATGCCTTTGTTTTACCGGTATCCGTAAGTGTCCCTTTGCCCGATTCACAGTTTAAAAGGCTCCCATCTCACTTATATATCGACCTGTAAGTTTGGTCTCGGCTGTTTTTTTGAAGAGGACGTAAAGTATTGGTCTTCTTATTGTCTAAGACGATTTGTAAGTAGTGGCACCCCTTCTACTAGTAATTGTGCCTTAATTTTTATCCCTCGCTTTTTGACCCTTTTTGGCCCTCCGTTTTCGTTAACAAATCAGCAGCTGGAAAACACTGGAGGGCCGAAAACGAAAATTTCAATACTGTTCTTCGCACAGGTTTTGAAGCCAATGTTTGGCCGGAGAATTTGCCGTGTCCCTTGTGACCCTAAAATCACTGTTAGTGTTTGCCTGTAGCATTTATAGAGAAACGTGGAAAAAGGGGATAATTATTCTTAACTCCGTGACTCGCCCGGACCCCCACACTGTTTATGATGAAACTTGTTCATTCCCCGGGAGTGTTCGGTAAGTTATGTCTTTATCACACAACACTCTCAGAAAAAATGAAGGTAAATCCTGTATAATTTTTTTGCCAAACTTTACCGTACTTCAAAAACCAGTATCCACCGTACAGTCCACAGTATTTGCCGTACTTGTTTTACAAAATATTCCGTGGTCTTTTAACAGTAGTTACCGTTCTTACGTACAGTCCATGCCGTAGGAAGGACCAGATCTGGTCCCAACAAAGGCCGCTTCCAAGAATTGTCCCCATCAGGATCTTGAAAAAAGGGGGTCGACCGACTGAAAAATTTTATTGCACCTTTCGATAGGTCTCGTCAAGACCTTTCCTACGAGTGGTCAGAAGGGGGGTCCAGAAGTCCGACTTCAGCAGTTGCGTACATCAGGAACTTGGAAAAAGAGGGTCAACCGACTAAACAAAACTATAGCAGTTTTTGATAGGTATTAAAAGTACGGGATTGCCCGGTAAAAAAAGTACGGGATTCCCTGTAAAAAAACGACGGAATTGCCTGTTAAAAAAAGCACAGTGAAGTCTGGAGTAATCAGTACAGGCTTTACCGTGATCTTTTCTCGCAGTGAAAATTGTAAAAAGTAATGTTTTTGGCTTACAAGTGACCGGTACGTGTGGTCAAAGTCGCGTTTCTAAACTCCGTAACACTTGGTCCATTTTCTGCAAATGCTCATATAAAATACATGGAAATTCAGCATTTTCTGAAAGTCAAAATTAAGCGTTGCAGGCTTAAGAATTTTTTTCAAGGCGGAATAAAACAAAGACTTTGCCAGAAAAAAGTATTTCGGGCTAAATTTATTTTCACGGAATTTCGGGCCCGAAAATGTACGTTTCGATGCAAACCACCCACTTTCCTGTGCCAATTAGGATTGTGACATTAGGACGCGTCGATTACTGTCCTTGTCTCGGCGCGATGGGCGGCAATCTAACCTCGAGCTCTCTGGGTGTCACGTAGGGCGCGGCGAACAGCTCGGGCTTCATTATGAAGGGGGCAAGGATCGCCCACTGCGTCACCATCATCTCGCCCTGGGTCAGGTACGCCCGCCGGATGCGGTCCCATTCCCAGGACACCTCTCCCTCGACCGGGCCGACTTTGCTGACGACTGGGCACGACAGCGTGCCGCTCGAGATCGACTTGAAGGACTGCTTGATGAGGTGCGTATTCGAGCAGAGCAGGTCCACGGGCTGGCCTTTCCCTGAATTAGGGGGAATGTGACGGTACAAATCAGCAGCTCGGGCTCGGGCCCATCCCGACTATTTTCACACACTAAATTCTGATAAACTTTTTTATGAATAGTTATGCAAGCACAGATACGTACATAAGGTATAATATTATGCATCACTGAGTACATTTTATGCAGGAAGATGCATACTATTATACATACCTTATGATCGTATCTGTGCATGCATAACTATGCATAAAATAATGCATAATTAAGCATTTTAAAAGTCCATAAGAATTTATTGTGTAGCATTCGCGAGCTTCATTCGTAGTTCATTTCAATGGTAAGCTTATTCGGATGTGGCCTAAGTTAAAAGAGACGTAACGTTTTCGTCATCAACACCCTTCAAAACATGAAACCATAAAACTAGAAATTCATACAAATTTTGTTCGACTTTGGCCGAAGCGGGACTCAAACCTGCATAGCGGGTTCGGAATGTGTCTGTCATTTTTGACAAAAGCACACTCCAAAACATATGAAATAACATAGAACTTGCACCATAAATATTGGCCGCATTCGACCATAACAGGACTAAAACCTGGGTCTGGGTTTAACTTTTCCTTTCAGTTCCGGTTTATCCAACCAGCCTATGAATTTCATAAAAATCGTAGAGGTCTTTGGCGACAAAAATACGTCGAGTCCATTTTGAATGACGCAGAGCAACACAGTTAATATGCACGAGCTTCACTGAAAAAATTTTCCTTCTTTTGTACAGAAAATGTTCGGAAGAGGAGAGTACGTAAACAAGAAGTGAAGTAGGGAACGTGCGTAAAGACTCGTTCCGTTGGAACTAATGTAAGCGGGTATGGAAAACGAAAAAGTACGGAAGTTCCTTTGTCTGCTAGTACGGACTGTCCAGGCAAATTGTTGACCAGACTTGTTCCTTACTTCAACCGTGCAGTGATTTTCACACGCACCGATGGTGAACTTTGCGTCGCGTTCCTCTGGTGAAATCTTGGCGAGGTCTTTTCTGACCCTTGCGTGCGCGCGTCGAACACCCAGGAGGCTCTTGTAGGCACGAGACTGAGGGTCGAACGGGTCCGACGAGTACCACGAGAGAAACTTGGAGATAGTGTTCAAGTAACGGCTACCTGCAGTCTCAGGGGTGTCGGATCTATAATAAAGAATTCCAGTACGTGAGTTTCGTGTTGATACAGTGTACTTCGACGAGCATACTTTGGTCGAAACCGCCTTTAAAGGGGAAGACTCGTCTTTAACACCAAAATTTTATCAAATTTCAGGCTTAACACGTTGCTGCGACGGTGTTTTGAGCGGAAAATATTTCCTACAAATTTGAAGGTTAGTGGGGTTTCTCAATCAAAAGCTGGTTCCTTATAGTTCATTTTGAAACAAATAAGTTTGACTGCCTGTTAATGTGGGACGAAGGAACACTTTTTTCTCCGATCGGAAACGGGTACCTGGCAAAAATTGCCACTTGACATCAGAAACACGCCTGCAAATTTTTTTTCGATCGGATAATATCTTTGGTTCCCACTTTAAGGGTGAAGTTTCGGATTTTTAGGTTAAGCGCCTTAACGTTAGGCAATTTGCAGAACGACTCGGATGCGCCACTGATGCGTTCGGACTCGGGAAGAAAGAGACACCTTTTGAACTTTAAACAGCATATCGAGCTCCATATGTGAGCGATTCTCACGTTTCGGGGTAGTTTTGGCGTCTCTGATTTGCCGAAAGTGAGAAATATCCAATTAAGTTTTTCTGATTATTGGGGTCCAGGATGATACTAGAGTTATGGCAATGGTATTTATAGTAAAGACCTTGTACTACCTTCCTAAAAACATGAGCCATAAGGTATCCCCGTTTTAGTGGGTGTTTTGATCACGGAAATTACGTTATCACGGAAGTCACAAAGTGTGAAAATCGGCTTTAACGGCTGACTCGGGCTTGCTGTGGCTTAAAAGTTGTTCCAGGGTCAAATGATACTCTAAGCCCGACATTTAAGCGGAAAATTTTTTCACCTAGTGTTGCTGCAACATTGGGTAAAGGGTGCCACGGAAGTTACAGGTAATTGTTGATACACGCCATTTTATAATGCTCTAGCCCGCTTTGAGACCGTGTACAGCATCTTAGATTTCCGTGACCCATGCAATTATATCCCAAGGACTCCACTTTGATGGCTTGTGTCATTGAAAGTTAAAAGTTTGGCTAGGGGAGAAGTCCAGAGCTGCCTTTTCGAAATTTGTGTGGTGAAATTGAATACACGGTGGACATTTTTCGTTGCAGCATAAGTACCTTTGAAAGAAGTCTGGCGTATTGGTCTTCGGTCGAAATTAGCTCGAGACATGCCAAGCTTCGAATCCCCATCGACAGTTGGCAGCGTTTTCGAACCACACCGCCACACTGGGGGCGGAAAGTTCGAGTATGTTCTCTTTGGACAATCACGGAAGTTACATTTAGGGTATTCCAAACGCTACGTAGACCGATCCAACGAACGTGAACTTTTCGAAATGTGTGCGTTTAGTGGGCAATGGCCCTCCCTAACATCAGAAACAAACACCATGTTGATATCTGCGCTCGTTTGGGCACAGGAGTCAGAAGAAACGGAACTACCCCGAAACGTGAGAATCGCTAAGGTATTCTTTATCGCTCACATTTGGGTGATACCCTAATCACTTAGTCACCCAAATTTGAGCGTGGAATCCATCCTTACCGAAATTTGGGTGAGAATGCTGTCTGGCCATATGGGTAGCTGATACTCCCTCTGTCACCCAAATTTGGGTGAGAATATGATCCTCACCCAATTTTGGATGGAAAAGTATAACTCGCCCAAAATTGGGTATTGACAAAGACTTTTTCATGCTCAGTAGGGTAAGGTTACCAAACATGGATCACTTTTTAAATAATCTTCTCTATATCGAAATTAAGAATAGGTTGACTACTATTTTTTAATCTTATGTTGATGTTTACCTCACTGGTGATATGTCTACCAAAAATGGTACCTCTAGCTTGTATACTTTGGAAGTTGTGAGGACAAGAAAATATGGCTATTTTTGCTAAGGTTAGGTTAGGGTGGTCCAATCATGGATCACCCCACCAGCGTTTGGACACAAAGCAAGGTATGCATTCAGTAGTCCCAAAATATCAAAGTAGTCCGTCTAAAGTGCACGATGAAAAATTTTGAAGTGACTGCGGTGATTGCTTGGCCCAGAATCAGGGGTGCAAAAATCACCTTTTTGAACGTCATTTTTCCATCGATTTTCGGGGGCCTGTTTTAGGTGTCTTTCTAAACGCAACCCTGCAGAGTACAGAGACGCAGTTGCAAACTTGTCAGATTCACATCGAACAGTCAAAGGGTCAGTCTAAGCAAGGAAAGACAGAAATTAAGAATCTGGCCACCCGGTCTTCAGATATAGACCCCCAAACAGAAATGATCCATGTTTGGTACCCCGATCCATGTTCGGCACTTTACCCTAGTGCACCAAAAAACGCACTTTGAAGTAGAGATGAGCGGATCCATTCCATCAGCAAAGCTGTACTCGAGGAAGATGCCCAGTAAGCTGGCCACAGTTACACCAAGGAAGTTGCGGCGGGCACAGCGCTGTCCTTCCAGGAAGAGCTTCTCGTCGAACCAGACGGGCTTCACGTCGTGAGGGGCGCCGGAGTCTCCGGGAGCCGTGAAAAAGTCGTCGATGACCAGGTCCCGTATTTCGTCCGGGAGTGACTCCCGGCCGCCCGGCGGATATTGGATGCGTATAGGAACATACGAGGTGGCCGGCTGAAACCACCACACAGGCTACAGTATTTCCATTACTGGTCACAAAACAATAACGTCTCGCTTTTTCCATAGGGTTAGTGCGAAGAACTAAACTTCAAATACATCAAATACCGTATAAGAAGCACTGGCATAACAACCATTAAAAGCTGTTCCGTGGCATCAGCGGTTCGTTACATGAAAGTTATACGGCATTTGAAGTAAAACGTGAGGTGCTCAGTTCTTCCCCTGTCTAGTTTTCCCCAGCACTAACCCTATCCGCAAAAATGATTTTAAGAACAGCGCCAAATTGTGAACAGTGCAAGTAAACTACTAGTGCCGGACTTTAAACCCAGGCCGAACCCTCCGCGCTGAATTACTGACCGTGATGCCTTTGTCCTGCTGATTGTCTTGGAAGTGCGAGGAGGTAGTCATTTTTCAAATGAATGTGCTGAAATGGTGAAACAGAAAAATAATACAAAGAAATACAGGTTTAAAAATTGAAGAAAATTTCCAATGAAGCTTTACATGGAAATGTTCAGGCAGTAAACACTGAGATTCCAAACGCTATGAGTATAGCACGTATGGTGCAATACAGCTGAGATATCGCACCACACGTGCAATGCCTCAGCCATATTGCACCTTACGTGCAATGCATCCCAAAAATGCCCTATGCTAATGCATGGGACTGGGGAGGCATTGCACTTCATGTGCAATGCTTTTGCATTGCACCAATTGACGCTATACTCATAGCGTTTGGATTCTCAGTGAAACTGCATATTATAAATTTCCGCAGAGGGACCCATTCTAAAGATAGTAAGATGCAGAGTTGCAAAAAGTTCGTGCGTTTGCAGTGCTTGCACATTGTGTTCACCCTTTTATTTTATCAGGGTGGTTAAAGTTAATTAAACGATTAACGACAATAATCGATTTTCGATAAGTTAATTTAGCGGTTAACGTTAACTCGATAACATCTTGCAGACCAGCTATCGAGTTATCGTTAACACAATCCTGGTTAACTTATCGACTAACAAAAGTAACGAATTCCCCAAAACGTAGAAATGCAAGCAAAATTTTTCAGCAAAAACGTTTTTGACGTTCGTATATTTGCGCCGCTGGCACTCAGCTGTGCCCAACCGCCGGGCTCAACGGTAGTGGTAGTCAAGTCAGTACTGGGAGTAAGTCGTCGCTAGTCACTTAATAACGCGCTAGTCAGTCAGTATGAGTTTGCAGACTTTCCAATTTTGATCTTTTTAACTCCCTATTCCTAATTGCATTTATTTTATCATTTAAAGATAGGTAATGCATACATAATAGTCCAATTAGACATTACTTTTGGGCATTTAATGTTGTGTTTTATTGTCCGTCATTCCTCCATTTAAAAAAGTTAGTTACTTTTAAGCAGTGGTGTCATTGGGCGTATACGGTGGTATACGGCGTATATACTGTCGAGTTTTTTTTTTCGAGGCCACCGTATACACAGTTCTGCATGTAAGGGTATACGGCAAGTTCCCGGGTTTACGGCGGGTATACGGGGCATGAATTTCAGCCGAGGGCGGCCTAACACAAGGCTTGCCGGCCGCAGCAGGACCATTGTTGCCAAGTTGGCAACGCCAACACACAGTTTTCACCGAAAAAACTTTCAAGCCTTGTAAATATGTCAAAAAAAACGTGGTTCGCTGGCCTCCTGGCTAACCCCGAAATCAAAATTAAGCAAAACCGAAGCACGCAACATACTTGCTGCATCAGAGAACCTCGAAGAAAACCAGCCCCCAGATCATGAGGTAACAAACAATACGCAGAGGGGGCTTCCCTCCCATTTGGATCCTGTTTGACGCCTTGGTTTCGGTGTAGGACGAAGACGTGACTTGGCCGCAAGCATATATACTTTAGAGCAATGGCAAGAAAAGATCAAAGAATACCCACGGCTTGCTTGCAAAAATTTTCAAATGGGCTGTAATGTGTGCTGCCGAGTCACTCGCTTAAATCTAATGACTGAGACACAAAAACGAGGTCTCCACCTAGCAAAGGAATGGGTTAAATTTGAGGTCAAACCCTCACAGTCAGACAAGCGAGAAACACAACTTGCGTCTATTCGCAACAAAATCAGGCGGCATGAAAACTCATTAGAGCACAAGAAATGCTTGGAAATAGTAAGCAATCGCAGGAGGAAAGAAATGGCGACTGCCCTGGAAGAAATCGGCGTGAACGTAGACGAGACCACGAAGAGAGTTTTTCGGACAGCTTATTACATTGCAAAGAACGATCGCCCCTACACGGACCATGAGACACTTGTAGAACTGCAGAAACTCAATGATGTCAAGCTGGGCCTTATGCTGCATGGTCGTAATACTGCAGCAGCAATTATCGATGAGATAGCAACAGAAATGCGGCGCCGAGTTGTCGAGCACATCAAAGACAAAGGGAGCAAGCTGAGCGTCATCGTCGATGAGTCTACCACGGAGGGCAAGAAGGCAGTCCTCATTGTGTACATCCGAGCCTGTGTCTTGTCAGACACTCCTGAGTACATAATGCTCGATGTTGTTGAGCTTGAAAGTAGAAAGGCCGCAGATGTCACTCTGGCAATCCTGACATGTCTCAAGAGTTCTGGTTTCTCCGAGGAGTATCTGCAGGTAAGTCCCGCTGCGAAACCATTCTCACACCCACCTCATTGAAGGGTTCATTGATGGTAATTTTTCCGTCAACAGGACCATTGGGTCTCATTTGTGGCAGATGGCGCCAGTGTGATGCTGGGAAAGTTGTCTGGCGTTGGAACACGACTCAAAGAAACATACAAAAAGCTCCTTCTGTGGCATTGCCTCAATCACAGGCTCGAACTTGCGGTCAGTGACGCCATTGACAAAATCGAAGGGGTCAACCACTTTAAGTTCCTGATGGACAAATTGTACAGTCACTTCAGTCAGTCCACCAAAAATCACCAGGAGCTGCAGGAAGTAGCCGTAGAGCTGGGTCTAGTCCTGCAGGTCATTGGACGCGTTTTGTCAGTGCGCTGGTCTGCGAGCAGTCTTCGAACAGTCAGAGCTGTCTGGAATGCAATACCTGCCCTCCACCAGTACTTCATGGATGGCTCTCGCGACCCAGAGCGAGACGGTACGACGAGAGCGACGATGCTGGGGTGCTAATCGACTGCAGTCAAAGGAGTGCCTCTGCGACCTCGCGTTGATGTACGACCTACTCGACGAACTGTCCAAGTCATTTCAGGTGCTGGAACATTCTGCCGACCGAAACGGAAAGACTTAACCCTAGAATCGAAACTCAGACGTCCGTACTGCTTCCAGGATCGCGACATGACCCTGGCTCAGGCCGATCGGCTGTGCTGCAGGACGATCCGCGTTGTGCAGAGCTTCTCAACGGAGCCTGGCACCCACTACAAAGAGGCCCTGCAAGCAATCGAGAGCGGTGAATTCCGTGGAGTGACCCTAACGGACTACCCGCGACAGAGGCGCATCAACAAGGACATCCTGATCGACAACCTTGTCGCATCCCTCACTCTGCGGCTCCATGGGACAGGTCTTCCCGCACGGGCAGGGGTGTCCGCCGAGTGCTGCTTAGATGAGGAAGTGATAGACGACCTTGAGGTGCTTTATCCAAGCCACTGGCCCGAGGAACTTCCAGAGCGTTTCGGGGAGGATGCAGTGCGACGCCTTTGTGAGCGCTTGAATTTACCTGCACATGAGGCCGTTAACGGGTTTCGGGACTTCAGAGCAGACCAAACTCGCGTGCCAAAGCTTCTTCGTCCTCTCAAAAGGTTGGCTGACACCACTCGTGTAAATGTTATCACAATGTCAGAAACCTGTCTGAAAACCTGATCAAAATTCGCGCACCTCTGAAAGCTGAAAACATCTCCTGACATTCTGTAGAACTCACACCATCAATATCAGAGTAAGTTTTCAGAATTTCAGCGTTCAGAGGTGCGCGAATTTTGATCAGGATTTCAGACATGTTTCTGACATTCTGACAAAATTTACACGAGTGACGTTTCCCGTGAGCTCAGCTGAGTGCGAGAGGGGATTCTCTCTGATGAATCTCATCTGCACTCAGCTGAGGACACGGCTAACCGTACACTGTTAGAAAAACTGCTGTTGGTTTACGACAAATTTGTCGTAAAGTTTCATAGCAGAAGTTGCTGTCAATTGAGAAAGATGTCGTAAGATAAAATGTCGTAGTCTGATGAAAGTGCTGTTCAACGATAAAATTATCATAGACATTGGCTGAACTCATATCCTCTTCACAGTCATTGGATCCAAATCATCAATCAACGACATTGTTGTTACATGATGACAATGTCGTTACATGATGACAATGTCGTTACATGATGACAATGTCGTTACATGATGACAATGTCGTTCAAAGATTGTTTGACTCCTAGCATTACGATGAAATAATCACAATTGCCATATTGTCAAATATTCCGGCAAAAAGTCTCAAAACTTAGCGAAGAAGTGAAAAATGTCAAGGTCAAGCTTTTACAACAAAATAGTATGCGCAAGAAGATTTTTTAAAATACAGCCAAAATAGGCTCAAAAAGACTCTTCGACTGGGTTCAGAGCCTGGCATGTGCCTTCAAAAGTCAAATTTTAGTCTCCTCGAAGAAAGATTTTATATTCCGGACAAATTGTGACAGTGGGATCCATTTGGAAAATAGCAAGATTTTTACCAGAACCTCCCCTTAACCTTTGAGGCAGACTGGTGAGCAAAAACACAGCTGTTCATCATGAAAGGTTATCAAAATAGCATTAAGTTTTCATGCTAATTAAGATGTGCCTTTCCCAGACTTTTTGCCGGAATATTTGACAATATGGCAAATGTGATTATTTCATCGTAATCCTACAAGTCAAACAATCTTTGAACGACTTTTGTCGTTTTGAGATGAAATTATTGTTTGATAACGATACTTTTATTGTTTTGATTTTGAGCATATTCTTTTGTAACCATACAATTTTGTATTCTTAAAACAAGTTTTTTGTAATATGATGGTTGTTTTGTTTTGAATTTTGACAATTTTGTCGTCAAATAACAATCATGCTGTTGAATTTTTTGTCGTTATCCCACAACTTTTTCTAACAGTGTAACGCACCTTTCAAGCCTCATGTTTGTTAATATACATGGCCCACCTTTAGCACAATTCCGGCCAGATCAATACGTCAGGAAATGGCTGATAAAACACAAAAGTGCCACCCAACCTCCCCCGAGAAAAACAACTGCGTCTGTCACTACAAAATCCTTTTGGGCTTTGATGTAATAAATTGATGTAAATAAATAAAGTGATTGATACGTATGCGTATACGCCGTAAACCCCCGTATACATTCTTGGTCCGCCACCGACCGTATACTCACGAAAAAAATCCAATGACACCACTGCTTTTAAGGCGCTTGCCCCCCTGCCGCACTCCGACGATGGCTAAATGAACTTGTTTTGTGTACACTGTAAAAAAAAATTCTGAAATTTCAGACAAAATTTGACTGAAGTTAATTAACAGTAAGGGGTTCTGAAATTTCAGACCATTTCGGCGGTCTGAAAATTTAGAATAGGGTGGTCTCAAAGTTTAGAATTGGGTGGTCTGAAAATTAAGATTTAGGTGGTCTGAATTATTAGACACGGCCAGTCTGAAGAAAATTCAGACAAATACACAAAATTGTAACGTTGAACCTTCACTCCATTGCGAGAGAAGTCTTTGATAGAACTTGCGCGTAACTTATCGTCCGTTCTCTTTACTCGGAAACTCCGAATATCTTGGTTTTCGAACCATCGAATCCTCGCTCGTCGGCTTTGCGGGTTATCCATTACACCACGGGACCGCTCTGAGAGCTCGGCTGCAGGATGCCGATGACTCCAAGCGCGCTCGCTGGACGCTGGGAGGCCACAAATAAACAAACAAAGCGCGTGTTGCGGGAGTTAAACTGCGGACAATTTGGGCTGTTCGTGAATATTTAAGATTCTGTATCGAGCGCTCAAATATTGCGGTTAAATTTGGTCAAATGAGGCAACCAGTCTGACATTTCAGAACAATACGTCTCCCGTTTCAGACACATGGTCTGAAAATACCCAACCAGTTTGAAATTTAAGATCAATCGGTCTTCCTTTTCAGGAGAATAGTCTGAAAAGGCGATTCAGACTACATGGTCTTGTACTTAGTCTGAATTTTCAGTCACCCCTGTCAGACTTTTTGTCTGGATGGTCTGAATTTGCTTTTAAGACTTCGAAAGTCTTAAAATTCATCCGAGGATTCTTCTTTTGAATACTTCTGGTCTTAATTCAGAAATCAGACCACCAGGTCTTACAAAATTGGTCTGAATTTTAAGATTTTTTTTAACAGTGTATTGACGGGGAGTCCTTTTTGCGAATACACACTAAATGTCATGGGACTTTTTTTGTCCCATGAATGATGCAATTTTAAGCACATCCGGTGGTGATGCAATTTTGTGTCTGCCAGGCGGAACAAGTCTGGTGAAAGTACAATTTGCAGCAGGCGTCGGACAAAATGTGTCTCCGGACTGCAACAAAATTGTATCAGCGTCTGATGTGCTTAAAATTGCATAAATCGTGGGACAAAAAAATTCCCATGACATTTAGTGTGTACTCCGTGCCATTTTCGTTCAGGTTGTGTAGCCTTCTCCCGAGAGATGGGTCTGAACAGTTCCCAAGGTACAGTGGCTGCGGGCTCCCAGGGTACAGTGAACGCCGTTCCTTGAGCCACAGTGTCTACTGTATCCCACGGTACGGTAGGCACCTTCTTTCGATGAACAGTGAAGAGTGGCATTAGGTTTAACAGCCACAATCTTCATTATTTCTCCCAGTGTTTGAGGGTTGCTAGACTAAGGTATGGACTATAACATATCAAAAAAGAAAAAAAATCAAAAATACTACTTTTGAGACAATCGCGTTCAAATTTTTTTGTTCAATTTTTGTCAAGTTTGACATTTTTTGTCAAAATGTTGCAATAGGATTAAAGTCCAATTCAATACCTTTCAAATGAGCTCAGAATGAGCTCTGTAGCTTTATCTTTGAAGAAACTACAGCGTTCTCAAAAAAGGTCTGCAATTAAAATCAAAATTTCGAACGCAAGCCATAACTTTTTCAAAGTTCGGTATTTTTTGCTCAAAATTGGTTTTTGGGGGGTTTTAGACCATAGCCAACAAGCTACTAAAGTTTCATCGAAATCGGAGACATCACTTGCAAAATTATGTCGAACCCCCATGGAATGACCCTCGTACGCTACACATTATGAACTGTACTCACGTTGAGGGGTGTGTTGACAGTAGGTATGAGGTCTTCAAAATGCGGTGGCTGACTCCCTTTGCCAGACACCTCGGACAGGAGCACACGCCCCAGTGACTGGCAATTAGGTTTCGATCTGCGTCAAGTGAGCGCCATGCAAATGCATCGGCGGGCTTCGGCGGACAGGCGCTTGAGTCCGACCAGCTCCTCACCCTTTTTCCCTTACTTCGTGATACCGAACTGCACTAGTGCGTCAATCGAGGAGGTAAACACTTGCGCATTACCCTATACACCAAAACCGTGTCACTCTAAAAAAAAGTTACAGAATTTTGTATCATTTTTGATGCAGGATTTTGTATCACCTGCATTGGTTACAAATATTTGTATAAGTGATATAGAATTTTGTAACAGATGTGCCGGTTACAGAAAAATGAATCATTTTGGAGCTTGATACAGAAATTTGTTACATGAAGGTTACAATATTATGTTTGTAACATAACTGATACAGAAAATTGTAACTGGATACTAATTCTGGATCAGAGATTAAAACATAATGAAGTTAAACTTAGAGTTTTCATGTGCTTTTATTTTTCCCGACTCTGAATAAGAGATTCAGTCTCGTTTATGCTTGGCTGGAAAAGGCCTCCGTCCCTTACCGCGCGCGCCTCAGGTTACCGGCTACCTGCGCCGATCCCTCCACGGCGTCCGCACAGCGCAGTTGGTAGCGTGGCGGGCCGCCAATCCAGAGTCTAGGGTTCGATTCCCCACTTCTCAGAGTACATCTGGGAAAGTTGTGACTCGGAGAATGGCATAAAGACCTTCAATCAGACCCACGGAGACTACGTTCGAGCAATATTCTCATTTTGAAGCTTGATTTGGAAGAATAACGATTGTTTACAAATTTTGTAACCGTTACGAAATTCTGTAACCAAGTTACAAAGAAAAAAACTGTACCCATCGTGATACAAATTTCTGTAACACATGTTATTGAAAAAGCTGCGTAACCATGTTACAAAATTCTGTACTGATTTTTTTTTTGGAGTGTAGTGTGAGACTGTCCCTCACTTGGGTACCCAGACTAAAACGCGTTGAGTTAGTTTTGTTATCACCCAGCAAAACCTGGCAGTGGCAACTTCGAAATGGAAGGGCCGACCTGGTCGTCACTTTCCAATTATCGGCTCAAAATATATACTCCGTCGCGGACACTCGAACGTGCAACTTGGAGTCGGACCATACACCTCGTAAGAGTTAGAGTTTGGCACTGAGGCGAACATGGCTCTCTCCCCGCTGTTTCTCGTCATGTTGTCGGCAAGGCCCCTCTTGGGCTGGCAAACCTGCGCGACGGATGAATTCCGTTGCGACACGGGGAGATGCATTCCACGCAAGTGAGTAAAACACCATATTCTCTGCACAGTCGCTGAACGAGTGTGACGTATTCGTTAGAATGTCAACTTTGTCACATTCGTTTCAGCGTGCACCAACATTTAAACGAAACGAACAGGGCAAAATTCACATTCGAACGAATTTGACGTCGCGTTCGTTGAATAGCAGTAGATGTGGAGTATCTTTGAAAGTGACACTGGGAAAGCAAATCCACACTGCAAAGCCAGTGGTAAGTTTGCTTGACACAAATTTGGCAAGCCGGTTTGAATGCCAAAAATTGGCAAGCTTGGCCCTGATCACCAGCTTGCCAAAATTTGGCAAGCTTTTGAAGATTTATGGTCGAAGCTTGCCAAATTTTGACATTCAAAGCGGCTAGCCAAATTTGTTGCAAGCAAACTTACCACTGGCTTTGCAGTGCACGCACTTAATAATCAGATTCCGGGTTCGATCGCGGTGTCTCATCTACCTTATTACGTCTTCGGACACAATTCATCGCAAAAACTTTTAGAAACAAGGGAAATTTCATTAACAGCAGCAGAAAAAAAATCGAGTGAGAAATATTACTGATATCTGCAGATTTTTAAAGTTTCTCATACGTTCGCATCGGCCTGACCGCGTATAAGGGAGTATGGGGCGATTTGTAACAGGGGCGATTCGTAACAAATGCGTGTATTAATTTAAGTACACTACAAACCTAACTGTCTACTAAGTACACACTTACAAATGCATGCTTGCAAGTACACACTTACAAACGCATACTTGGCCAAGTACACACTTACAAATGCATGCTTGCAAGTACACACTTACAAACGCATGCTTGACGCATGGAGTTATACGGCGTCAAGCATGCGTTTGTAAGTGTGTACTTGCAAGCATGCAATTGTAAGTGTGTACTTAGTAGACAGTTAGGTTTGCAGAGTAGGGGGAGCAGAGGAAAATCTGAGTATGGGCCCTCTTTCGCTTCAAGTAAGGGAGGGTGGGGCACCATGACCACTGGGGCACCATGACCATCCCCCTCGCTCTCGGGAACTACTTTGCCGACGGCAACCGGTCGACCGGACTTTCGAGAGAATAGGATTCTAACTATTTTCAGGCAGAGCCCTACCTTCTAGCTTCAAGGGTACGACCATAGCACCTCGCCAAAATTTTTGTTACAGCGTTTTGGCTAAATTGGGCGTATTTCAAATCTGGGATATTTTTTCTCACACTCACATTTGAGGAAATAAGTTGGATGTCCTAGGTTTTTGTCAAAATGTCGGCTCTCCGGCAAAATATCCACTATCACATTTAATTCTAAGTAGCTTTTTTCTTGCTCGGGGTGCCTTTGAGTCGTAAACTGTATTGTGGGGAGCCATGACCACTTTTTAGTGGGGCACCATGACCATACATATTTAAGTGTTTTTTCTCATGTTTTGGCCTGATAATAATTTATTTTCGTCGAAAATTTGCTTTTTGCTTCAGAAAATGTATAAGGGTTGAATAATTGCTGCAGAATAGATAGTTTTATCACAAATCGTGAATCACCAGGATGATTAAGAATGGTTCTGAAACTGAGACTTGAAATGGTAGTTTCTCTAGCACTAAATGAGCTCCAAACCGCAAAAGTTGGCCGCGAAGGCGATCCGTGGCTACTTTGCACCAAGATGGCTCTGGCATTATGAGAAACAGCATTTAATTCACTTGTTTGCAGTGTAGTAACCGCGATAATTTTCTTAAAATTAACCAAATTGAAATCTGCATACGAATTTGGATTCGTGTTAGCAAGGCAAACATAAAATGTTAACACATGTCATAGCTTTGGATGTGAAATTTGAAAGCCTTAGAGCGTTAACTGTTTTAAACCGTCCATTTTAAGGCATCTTAGAACGTTTGATACTTCGAAGGTTTTTACAGTGTTTTTAAGTTAAGTTGACTGGCCTGATGGTAAGGACAGCGATATAAACAATTTCAATGAGAATACTGGTAGCAAGTACACTTTTTGGGCCAAAAAATTACTATGGTCATGGTGCCCCACGGGGTGGTCATGGTACCCCATAGGTGGGGCGTTATGACCACTTTGCGTTTTATTTTCCAAAGTGTTCTGTGAGCCTGCCGTGCATTGCAGACAAGTTCCAATGGGTGGAAGAGGTCCTTCGAGGTCCAAAGAATCCCCTCATGCTGGAAACTTAACTTTTCGAACCACACGGTGGAGTAGATGGAGGCACAAAAAAAAAGTGGTCATGGTTCCCCACCCTCCCTTACAGGGTCCTTCAACAATCGAAGGGGATGTGATCGGTGCTCAGGTATAGTTTTAGAGGGCGTCTGAAATATAGGGTACACCGAAAACAGGCAAATCTTTTATTTTGAGTTCTAGGAAGTTTCTGTCTGAGGCTCCCCAGGTATGAATCACCATCGAAGTACCGTTGGGGCCTTGAAGCGTGACCCCTTTACAATGTAACCACGTGGCATAAGTTGCTTTTACTTTGTCGAGTGATAGTTAGGGACGGATTTATTGCGTAACAGAACAGGCATTTGGGGTGATTCGTAACAGCCCCGTATAAAAAGAAGAATTTAAGTAGTTTTAGCAATTAAATGCTTGAATTATTTCTCGAATCATCTGCTGCCTTATTCCAATACATTTACACAGCTCGAAATGCATTTTAAAGCGAGTTATTCTATTCTTTCCTCTAAAATTGAAAAAGTGAGGTTAGGATTGACATAGCCGATCAGTTAATGCTGAGGCGGTCAACGGCAGCTTGAAATGTAGATTTTAAGGCGTCTGCAGGACATCCGAAGAACAACTGCTGGAGGAGATAACATTCCCGACGATGTTTCATTTAATGTGTAGGATGTTATGAAAAGCCCCATGGCTGTTACAAATCACCCCATGCTGGGGCGATTCGTAACAGCATGCAAGGGTTTGGAAAGCGTCTAAGATTTCAAAGATTACGGACTCCAGATTGATCCAATGGAGCTGCACAGTCTAGATAAAGGGCCAGACTGCTCAACTGGCACAAGTTTGACACCGATATGCAGAATGTTCTTAATTTTGTATAGAGAATTCCGAAATCTGTTACAAATCGCCCCATACTCCCTTACGCGTAAAATTCTTCATCTATCACTAGACTATCGCCTTGTCTTGCCGGTAGCGTAAGTGTACATCTTGGTAGGGCCAAAAATTACTATAAATTTCGGTTTTGCTTCTTGGGATCTTCCAAATGACATTGCCGAGTTCATCGCCTGAGTCTGACTTGTGAGTGGGTGATGGGCGAAGGGGGTCAATTCAGGTCAGCGCTCGGGTCAGCGGGTCCCGGTGCCCCAAGGTTGATTTGGAAGTCTTAGCGACTGGAACTTGTTCTACAAAAGGACCCCGGGTCGGAGCCGAGGTCTGGTATACGACCTGAACACGTCTTGAAACTGCATTCTAGGGAAGGCCGGTTCAGAGCCGTTACAGGGCCGTTCAGAGCTGACTACAGGGTCATCACATGGCTCGTTCGAGACGGCCGCAAGACTTAACAGGGCGAAATGAGAGCAAAAAGAAGGCCGAAAGAAGGCTTTGCGCAGTCGTCCGATTTTTGTCTGCGAACAACCTTAATCTGGTCTTGTTTTCGCCTTCATGGAAGGTGGAATCAAGACGAAAAGAAGACGTCAACAAGTTCAAGACAAGGTTCCTTATGGAGCCAATCAGAGCGCGCTAGAGAACACTTCAAGGCGACTTTTCGTATGAAAAATTCGGAGTGCGGATGCGCTATCTACCCCCTTTCCGCCTTAGTCCGCCCCTGCTCACACTGTGGGAAAAAATCACAGTATCCTGTAGTGATTAGTACAGCTGTCACTGTAGTTCAGAGTACAGGATTTACTGTACTTTTTTACAGGATCTACTGTACTTTGTACAGGATTTACTGTTACCACAGGAGTGGAGTACGGAATATCCTGTACCAGCACTCCAAATCGAAAGGCGGTAATATTTCCACCCTTTACTGGCGGTAATTGGCTATTGGCGGGCTCCAGGTTTTCGCCAATACGAAGGCGGTACAGAAATTACCGCCCTTACAGCACCGTTTGTACCGCCTTTGGAGACACTCTCCCCAAGACAAACTTGCCCCAAGACAAGGACCCGTCAATACCAACGCCGTGTACAAGTGCGGGACCACCGGCAAGACCTCCCAGCCCGACCCCTTACGACCGAAGATCAACGCCTGCGATTGGGTTTCGTTTTCACAGACGCGGTAATGCGGCGACGGGGAGGGGCACAGGAGGTCATCTCTACAGGTAGCCCGCATAGGATGTCTCTTTTGCCGCCAGATCGCAGATCCGAGACCAACATGCGCAGCACGGCGATTTGTTGTGTAGTCGGTCGGGTGTTTGGTTGGATGAAGCTTTCTATTTTGTCGGCAAGGTCGCAGGATGCTCTCGCCAGGACACAGGTCGCATGAAGAGAGGGGCAGGGCGAAGCACACCTTTCTCAATACATCAAGATTTGGACCAAGAGGACGCCGTTGATCCCCGAGATAAGGGGACGAAGCAGGCGGACACCGGACTCGGTTGTGCTCGAAGCGACTGTTCTGGGGTGGAGGCCTGCATCCCCTCCCGGGGATGTATACCTCCTCTCTGACTGGTCATACTGCGAGTGGGAGCATGTAGCCAATGGAGGTTCTTCTCCGCCGGCATAACGTGTCACCCTAGTAAGGACGACCTTGTCTCGTTTTGCAGTGCAGGCGAGCATGTGTCGGGCCCGAAATGGCATACGATCATGTGCGGTCTAGCCCTTAATGGTAATGGGTGGGTAGGCCACGCGCCGTACTCTCGGTTGGGTTACCTACCTCGCCGGCGGTTCAGGCTGCGCGGTGCGTACCCGTACGCACCGCCTCGTACTTGCAATGGCAGAGCGTAAGTTGTACGATGGAGAGGGCCAGGGAAAGGGAAAATTCAAATGCACAGATTTCAGAGCGGGTTTTACCATTTATTTGTATCAAGATTCTCAACAATAATGGGTTGAGGCTTTAGGAGAGTAAACAAAACAAACAAAAAACAAACTGTCTTATGAACTTAAAGACAAACTGACAAATAAACTAAAAAAAAGCAATAACAAATAGTCCTAAAGCATTGGCATTATTTAGCCCCCTTGTGGCGAACTTGTTCCAAAAAGTTAGTGGTTGTTCGCTTGAAGTTAAACTTTTTGTTTGGATTCTCCACTGCATTGTGTGCTGTGTATGCTGAAAAATAGTAAAATAAGGTTACCAATTATTCATATAACCCCTACTTAGTTGGAATGGTATTTACATGGCCAATAGTTTTGAGACTTACCTAAGGCTGCTCTCAGCACTTTGGGTGGAATGGCTATGGTGTTGTTCTTTGCCCCCGACATGCTAAAGCCCCCTTCCATCAGCAAATCTTCTGTCATGATGGTACGAATAATGGCTCTGTACATCTTAACTGGCTGCTTACGATGATCCCTTAGGATCCAGTGCAACTCTGATTTCGGAATCCACACTCCACCAGGTGAAAGCTCTTGCTGAAACAAAAAAAAATTAGCTCAAATAAATGCAAAGTTTTAGACAAAAGGCTCCCATTTAAAAAAATACGATTTCAAGAAATCCTAGGAGTCACGAAGTCAATTTGGTTATTGTGTAAGAGTGTGGAGAAAGAAAAGAAGTGGTGTTGTGAGGCTGAGGGGACTACCAATGGCAGTGGTACCAATGTGGTCGATGTGCCACCCGTCGAAATTTAAACTTGACAAAATAGAAATCAAAATGCTGGTAAATTCAAAAAATTCCAATGCTAATGTATTCCACAGTGTTCTGACAATGGAACATCTTTAAAGTCCATCATTATCAAAATGTTCTTGGCAGAAAGAAGGCAGTAAATTAATTTTCACGGGTTGGCAACTAGTTTCTCGGCGTCTGCGCCCTTGCGAAAATCGCGAAGCTGAAAGCACCAGCAGTCGCGCATTAAAACTGCCCATCCATTGTTGCTGACGTTGAATTGTTTGGCTTGTTTCAAAAGGCTATGGTTCTCTAGTCATGTTTTCTTCAATTCTGTGTAATAGTTCTCCCTTACAACGTATCAACACCACGACGGTTGGTTTGACAAACTTCATAAACTCGGGAGGGATGGTTTCGAAACGCGGGTGAGTCTTGTTCGAGGAACATGAGCACTGCAAGTCGCGAGGTGGAGCGAAGTGGTCCTAGTGCTAACTGAATCACAACAACAACAAAATTGTTTTTATTGACAGAAAAAAAAAGGAATATTTGAGAAACTGTATGCCAGAAAAAAAGAACTTTTGTTTTGCTAATTTTCTGTGAAATTTTTTTTAGAAAGTCATCACACAAAAATTGAAAATTTGTTTTTATATGAATTTTCATAAGCAGGAAACAAAGAAAAAACAAGAAAGAGAGCATAATTAATACAGGTTTCAAATGCTACATTTGGTTAAACTGTTAACAGGTTGAAAACCTACTGCGCATGTCCAAAAACACTCCAATCAAGAAGTATTATTGGATAGTTCTACCCAAAAAACTGCGTTCGAACCGACACCAATTCTATTGTTGCATCTGCAGTCAAAGAAATTTTTCATTTCGAACGTGCTGATTTCAGCTTTTGGAGTAAGCTGTACAGACCCAAAAAGAAGCTCGGCTATTGGTCTGCCCCGGCTGGGCTCCCCCCCTCCCTTTTTTTCCCTTTGACGAGTGGGTTTGCCATGGAAACGGCGATTTTGACAGCAAATTTCTCAAAATTGGCCACCAACTTTTTAACCAGATTTCAGCATGAGAATCAGCGTTCAAAGTTCTACAAGTCTGCAAAGTCTCATTAAAATCGTATAGAAAATTTCCGAAATGCATAAAGGGCCACACAAATTGAATCTCGGGCCGGCTGAATCCTGGGTATACTATAAGGCTACTTCGTGCCTAAAAATACCACCGCCTGCCATGACAGAGCTGTTCATTATTTTCTGGGTAAGTTCTCTTTTCGATCTGTGAGTAACTCATCCCGTGATAACTCAGATTAAATATTGCAATGCCGTGAACATCCTTGAGCCCTCCTAATTGATTCCTTGCATAAACTAATTCCCTCTTTTGAGTTTCTGAGTTTTGGATGTTTACGTTAATTTCTAATTGTTTTCTCCAAAGTTTTCCTCACGACAACGGAAAAGGCACCTAGCCCTCAGATTCTGGCAAATAATTATTTGGGCATAGCAAAAAAGGATAGAGATGTTCTTTTCTACATATGTACTTTCAGTTCCCCGGTGGAAAGAGGATTTCGTACGTATTCTGAGAGGGTTTAGAATCATCGACACTCACTGAGCCCCATTTTCGACGGGTGAAGATTCGGTTTTGCCGAACCTCTGGGTCATAAATAGAGCTCGATGTGGTTTCGACCTATATAGGTTCGGTTAAACCGAAGCTGCATTGATCGAAAGCCATTCTCAAAACGTGTGAAGTCTCCTTCATGCGTCAATCGGTTTAGGATGATTAAAAAACCCGGTTGCGTTGCCTCTGTGTTGCAGTTGACGTCAAGCCCGGGACAGGCTTCTTCGAGCGAAGCGGTGACGCGTGGTTCGTCCGGGGCATCGTTGCGTTTTCCGGCGGGTCCGGCGAGGGCCGACTCGCCGTCGTGGCCCTGGCGGACTCCCGCACGAGGGCGTGGCTGCGCGAGAAGATGTCGGTCGGCGACGACGCAACGCATTCCTAAGCATCCTCGCACTGAGTGAATGCACTCTCACCGTTCAATCGACCTTTCATCAATACACGTCGACAAGCTCCGCACGTTAATCGAATTTTTTAAAACTGATCTGTCAACGCGAAATTGATATAAAGATTGAAATAAAATATTTAAGCAAATAAACATGTCAACATGCTCACACAAACTTCAGCACGTCATTGAACATTATTTTATTGAGCTTTCTCCTTGTCACATAATGTTGCATACGCTGAAAAATGTTCAAAGAGGAAAAGCTGCTTAAGATGATTACAAGTTGAATAGCTTTAAAGACATTTTCATTTAGATCCACTGTTTAGGCCTTATTTTGACCGAAAGGTAAACTCACTAATTTATTGTGTGTTTTTTTTACCCGAATATCAATTTTAAAAACTGACTGAATACTATTAGAACTCTAATGTGAAAGAAAAACAAGTCCTACCTGATTAGAGGGTGGTAGGCAGGGTTGGACATACCCCAGCGGCGGGGAAACATATAAATGCAATGAATATATTTGTGACCAATCCAGCAGCCAACAGGAAGCACGTTGGGGCAGAATGTCCATATTTAGAACAGTTTTGATTTGACTTTATATTCCCAAAAGTTACCGGAATCTCCGCCTCTGGGAGGCTTACGTTGAGTGACAATATTTCTTACGTATCTAATTACATAAAATAACATATAATATCACTAACGTAATGAGTTGTAATACTCTGAAAACTGAGGAGTGTACACACAGTTGGCGTCACGAACTTTGAGAAAAGACCGCTTTTCACGTCATGTGCAGTTTGGATAGTTCTGAATTGACACTAACAGTTTGCATTTGTCTTGAATCTGCTCTGACAGGATTATCATGGATCTACTCTGGCAGTTAGGATTATTCTATTAGGGCAGGTCGAAGAAGACGTTGCGTCAACCTTCAGGTTGATTCTTTTGAGAATCAACCATGTATTCTCATTTCAGGAACATGGCATCACGTTGAAACGTATGTGACAAAATGTCACATACTTTGCATCACATTGTGTCACATTTGTGTCACCACGAATGGAATGAGAGTGTGCACACTCTTCAGTTTGCTGAGTAACGGACTTCCAATTTCTACTTGACAGCACACACTAAATGTTTACGTACAATTTTGTATAACTTGTATAATCTTTAACTTGAGTGATGTTTTGTATAAAATTGTGCTCAAATTGGCATAAATTTATGCAACGCATACTATGTAAATTCCACCGTATGCACGAAATCGTGCAAATTACACACGAGTGAAAAATTCTCCATAGACATTTAGCGTGCAGTGATCGTTCGTCTCTGTCATCTGCCGCTCCGATACGCACTGCGACTGCGGCGCACCAAGAGCGTTGCTGCGCGACTTAAGGTGGTCGAGTACGAAGTCGCACAGAGCGGCAAGTAGCGTAACACCAGACGCATGGCCCACAACTGTAGGGTGTCCGACCAGGCGAGGGTCTTGCTCAGGTTGGTTTTCTGTCCCAGCAGATCTTCGGTCACGTAGGCCAGGCTGGCCCTGAAGGAGGGAGTAGGTATGTGCTCCGTGAGGCCTTCGGTGATGCATGTCATCATGTGCTCCCAGTGAGTGACGCTCTTCACGTCCATAGTGCGGAGGTGTGGGCTGCAACAGACGATACACTGGTAAAATAAAGCGTAGTCTCTGTTTAGATGCGTAATCAGTTTATCCTTGAAATCAAGCGTAAGCGGCTCATCCACCAAGATTCCCCCTATTCTAAATGCATGAGGTAATTTCAAGTCTACGCTTCATTTCAATCGCAACGTCTTCAAGCGTAACTTGATGCTTGAGTCAAGCATAGAGTTACGCTTTAGATTTACCGGTGTAATCCGAATAGAAATGTAACTTTTCTGGCGTGGAGAGGAATGACGTAATAAGCTATTCCAGAGTTAAGAGGGAAGAAGGAAAAAACGAAGAATCTTCTTCGTCTTGACCGCACCTGGGCGTGCGCACACACCCCCACCACTATGCGCAAACTTCCCAAACACTCCTCTGCACATGCGCAGAAGCGTCTTTTTCTTCGTTTTTTTCTTCTTCACTCTAAAACCTTCATCCACACTTGGGTACTGAAAAACCAAACGTGGTCTAGACCACCAACTGATGCGGTCAAAATACCACCCATTTGACCACACCACGTTTGGTTTTTCAGTGGGGATGTGGGGTTTTTCACACTTGGAAGTGCAGAGTTTGCAGTCGCCACGTTTGCACCGTGCCGAAAGAAAGGGGCTCTGTGAGCTTCAAGACACTAGAAGTGTGGAGACTGCAAACTCTGAACTTCCGAAAGTTGATAATTTCTCCGTGATAGTAAGTTCGCAGTCCTCCACTGATAGTGACTGACATACTCACACTATCACAAGCCGCAGGATCAGTTCGGCTCGCTTTTGGACCGTCTCCAGGTCACCCAGTGCGCAGTTAAAACGATCCTCAATGCCTAAGCAGTATCCAAACACCGCCCACACGTGCGAAAATGCCTGCGGACAGAATGTGCATTGAGACTCCAAACTTCGAAGATTATCCACTCTCATTCCAGAGGGCATGACCAGGGGCACTGAAACGAGCATTGTCACAAGCTCGTTTGAATTTGAGTGAGCTAATTTATGGCTGATTCATATCCAATCGATCGTGACACAATGCTCAAAGAAGCGTGACATTTTGAGACGCTCTTCAGGCGTTTCCTGCAGGCGTGGTTTAAGGAGCTCCCGACAGGGAGGGCGATTCTGTATATTTTGCCTACCTACAGGAGCATGTGATGCCGGTTGCCTACCGTCACATTAAATGTTATGTACAATTTTGTACGAGACATAACAGTTTTTTGTGCACACGTACAATTTACGTACAATTTTCGTACAATTTTCGTATGAGAAACTGCACATTTTTCGCCATTTTTGTACAAAATTGTACAAAAATTTCGAGTGCACAAAAAACTGTGATGTCTCGTGCAAAATGTGTACAAAAACATTCAGTGTGATCAGGCGTTTAGGGAATCTCACAGGGGCAATCGCTCTTCCCCTCCCCCTTTCCGGGCATTTCTACCTCATGATTGATTATTCTCGTTTTTTCGACGCGTTGCGCGGCAATCTTAGCCTACCTCGAGCTCTCTGGCCGTTACGTAGGGCGCGGCGAACAGCTCGGGCCTCAGTATGAAGGGGGCGAGGAGCGCCCACTGCGTCACCATCATCTCGCCCTGGCTCAGGTACGCCCGCCGGACGCGGTCCCATTCCCAGGACACCTCCCCCTTGACCGGGCCGACTTTGCTGACGACGGGGCACGACAGCGTGCCGCTCGAGATCGACCGGAAGGACTGCTTGATGAGATGCGTATTCGAGCAGAGCAGGTCCACGGGTTGGCCTTTCCCTGAATTAGAGGAAACGGAACGATACTAATCGGTAACTCGGGCCCATCTCCACTGTGGAAAAAAGGGATATTTTTTCCGTTAATTTATTGTCAGAAAAAATGTCCATTTTTTCCCAAAGTGCACTCTGAGCCTTTTCCTGACCATTTCTCATTAGCAGACGCCGTTTCTGTAAGCAATCATAATACTTTTTTCTGTATTACTTAGCAACTGCTTATAACTGTACTGATATAATCGTTTTCTAAGAAGTTTTTAAGTATTTAAGGGAAGGTGGGGCACAATGGGACACGGGGCACAATGGGCACTTTCAAATTTGCCGCCTTCCGGTTGCCGTGGGATCGCCCAATCACGAGGTGAGATAGTCTATGAGTAGTAGACACGTTGACACAAGGACGTGACCCCGATCGACCTTCTCCCGCCAGGGCAGGTGGCTACGAAGTTTACAAACACTAAAATCAAGGTTAAACCAGCACCAGCACTCGATTTATTATTACCTATAGCTCGGAAGATAATTAAGGTAGATGAGATTTTGAAACAGGGGCGAGGGGTCGTCAACTCTCCCCGGCCGTGTACGGAGTAGTATATATTACTTGTAATACAAGTAATACAAGGTAATACGAGTAATATGTGGTAATATAGTAATATGGAGTAATATAAGGTAATATAAAGTAATACAAGGTAATATATGGTAATATAATGGTAATATTTGATGTAAAAATGGTGTAAGTGATGAGAAAACGCTCCCACAAAGTCTCCACGCATTGGCTCGACGAAGCAGATGAGCGCGCCTAGAAGGTAGGCAGCAGCGTGACCCGCACGACAGGGCTGCCACATTGGCTGCCTATGCAAGGCTGCAAGGGGCCCCAACTACTCCCAGAGTGTCAGGACTCCAGCCCAGAAGGCGTGCTGTTTACTAGTAGCTTAGGAACCATGAACTACTGATAAAACTTGTGGCCAGCTTTAGAAAGTTTTGGTTTGGCATTGTTCAATTGCCCATTTGCTATTTAAAAAAGCTTAAAAGTTTTTAAAAAAAATCCTTATTGATTCAAAAGTGTGCAGGCCAGATGAAACCTACAATCAGTTAAACAAATAATGATATCATTTGAAATAAGACAGCTTCCTCCTTTTGGCAAAATAAATCATTTTATTAGCAGGTAATCACATTAAAACAAAACAACTTGAGATCAGTTTGACAAACAAGTACAATAATCTTTGCAGTCTTATGTCTCATGAGACAATACTTAAAATTAGATTAAATAATTTCACCCCTGTGAAGTTATATGTATTGCACAACTATTCACTGCAGTCTCATATTTCCTGATGCAATCCAAATAAATCATTTCACCCGTGTGGAATGGGATATTTTAGACAACAAGCATACACTACCAATCACATTGAATCAGGAAATAAAAGTAAGCAAATCTCTAAAAATAAAGAGAACAGTAATAAAAGAAAGGAATGCCACATCAGTCTTCACCTGTGTGGAAGGGAATATTATAGACTACAATCATACACTACCAATCACATTGAATCGGGAAATAGAATTAAACATAACTCTAAAAATAAAGAGAACAGTAGTAAAAGAAAGGAATGCCACATCAGTTTTCACCCGTGTGGAAGGGAATATTATATACTACAAGCATACACTAACAATCACATTGAATTGAGAAATAGAATCAAACAAAACTCTAAAAATAAAGAGAACAGTAATAAAAGAAAGGAATGCCACATCAGTCTTCACCCATGTGGAAGGGAATATTATAGACTATAAGCATACACTACCAATCACATTGAATCGGGAAATAGAATCAAACATAACTCTAAAAATAAAGAGAACAGTAGTAAAAGAAAGGAATGCCACATCAGTTTTCACCCGTGTGGAAGGGAATATTATATACTACAAGCATACACTAACAATCACATTGAATTGAGAAATAGAATCAAACAAAACTCTAAAAATAAAGAGAACAGTAGTACAAGAAAGGAATGCCACTTCAGTCTTCACCCATATGGAAGGGAATATTATAGACTACAAGCATACACAACCGATCACATTGAATCGGGAACTAGAATTAACAAAACTCTAAAAATAAAGAGAATAGTAACTAGGGGTACGCGCCGTTTACTGTGGGCGCGTAGTGTGGCTGAGCGATGCGAATTAGTTTCTGCACTTCGGACTTTGCTTAACTGGACGAAATGAGCAACTTATGGGCTCTGAGTGAAATGTAGGTCTCGGGTATAAATGGAAGTGATTTTCGTTTTCAGCACGCAAAAAGCTGTTAGGATCAACGTCAAACTCGATTCAAAAATTTTGGTCCAAATTTGGTCAAAATTAGGTAAAGCGTGAGTCTGGGAAAAATTTGGAAGTCATTTTTGAGTTCAGCACACCAAAAACTGCAGGTAACAATATAAAACTCGACTTGAAGATTTTGGTCCAAAATGACCTAATTTGGGATGAAAATATAAGTCTGGAGTCGAAATGGAAGTGATTTTCGTTATCAGGACACAAAAAACTACTGAGATCAACATCAAACTCAATTCAAAAATTTTGGTCCAAATTTGGTCAAAATTGGGTAAAGCGCGAGTCTGGGAAAAATTTGGAAGTCATTTTTGAGTTCAGCACACCAGAAACTGCAGGAAACAATATAAAACTCGACTTGAAAATTTTGGTCCAAAATGACCTAATTTGGGATGAAAATATAAGTCTGGAGTCGAAATGGAAGTGATTTTCGTTATCAAGACACAAAAAACTACTGAGATCAACATCAAACTCAACTCAAAAATTTTGGTCAAAATTTGGTCAAAATTAGGTAAAGTGTGAATCTGGGAAAAATTTGGAAGTCATTTTTGAGTTCAGCACACCCAAGACTGCAGGAAACAATATAAAACTCGACCTGAAAAGTTTGGTCAAAAATGAGCTAATTTGAGATGAAACTATAAGTCTGGAGTAGAAATGAAAGTGATTTTCATGATTGGCACTCCAAAAACTGCAAGAATTAATGTGAGATTCAATTGAAAAATATTGATATTGAATTGATTAATAACGGATAGAGTATGGGTCTGGGTTCATGGATCACCCCATGTCGTCACCCTAATGCGAAACCAATGCGATTCCTCAGTCGAGTAACATTCCATTGAATCGCTTAATTGGCTAATCGTCTGCTTGAGTCACTACTCGATATATCTGTTTCTTCAAACTAATGAATTTACAAATTTATTAGTTATATTTGAGTAGCCTTTTGTCATTCTTTCATTTTAAACCAGTGAATTAAACAATATAGACTGGAATATGTAACCATAGGTTTTATTAAGTGAATCAGTTTAGGGCAGGCTGATCTGAAGCATAAGACGGAGACCAAGTTTTGTCAAATTCAGTGAATTGTCTCATGAAGTCCAATGCAGAGGCCACTTTTTGCTCAATACGCCATTATCTTATTCATGTCTTGTGGTAGTTTATCTTTGGAGTAAAAGATGACAGTACAGGATTAACATTAGGCATTGGGCTTTTGTTCGGAGAGCCACATTTAAACTATTACCAATACTAAGTTCCAGTTATCGGACACAAACTTTGGTGAAGTGAAAAGAATCGTCTCATTAAATCCAATTACCAAGTCACTCACCGCTCACAATCTGAATCGTCTCATTGAATCCAATATCCAAAATTTATTAGCATTAAAAATACACATCCATATGTGGATTCTTTTAATCAATAGATGCTAGTACAAGAATATTTATGTTAGGTTGCAGCATTAAAATAGGATGTCATTTCCCGACAAAGACATGTAACTTGTCTTCTAATTTCAACAGAAGTTATTCATGCATTTACCTAATTTGATTTTCTATGAAATTTAAAAATAAATTTAAAAATAAGGATGGTATCAGAGAAAATAAAATCAGTAGATACACACAAAGTAACAGGCAAAGAAAACATTCTATTTTCAGTCCACAACTACACTCACAGTGCACTGACCTGCAGGAAGATTCCCCTGTGACGAGGGAGGGGGGAGAGGGGCACGAAACACGCAAACCATTCTCACTTTCAGTTTTCGTATTTTCCTCTGTTGACACTCCGGAAGGGTTTTAATCATTCTAGAATGTTAAAAAACTAACTCAGAACCTATTTGAGAGCCCCTTTGCTCTTCAGTTTGTTTTATTTGCATAAGTACCGTCCTGTCTTGCAGACGGCTTGGAAGCGCGGCAGCCGGTATGAGAAATTGGTAAGCCACACACTGCTACCAACCAAACAACGCTAATAACCTAGTTCAAAACGATGTTTTGAATATTTCAAACGATGATAATTGTTGATCTAAGATAAACTCCCCCTGTGGGGCACTTTGGAGATGTTCAATACGAAATTTGGGAACAATTGGTGTTGTAGTTGCTGAGAAACGTGAGCGTGTACGCTACAGACTCACAGACGGACAGACAGACTCACGACCAGTCACTTTTTGGTGCGCCCAAACACGGCATGGGCTTCGCTATCGCTCAGCCAATAAAAGAAAGGAACATCACATCAGTTTTAAAAACTTACACTAGTATATATCAAACAAAAACATTGATACTGCTGTCACAGTGTAAAAACTATTTAACTTGCATAGAAAAATTAAAGCATCATAAAATTTTGTACTGCCTTGTTACTTAATCTAAAAATCACAAATATAGTATGGATGGAACAAGTATAGATGACACAGAACTCACTATTTAGCTAATCTTCCTTTAGCTAGTTCACGAATGTCTTTCAGTAAACAAGATATGACTAGTTTACCATCCTGTCCAAGGACTGGTCGAGGGAGAGTGCAGATATAGTGGTTGATGTTATAATATCCTTGAACATCCATGCAGAGATCCTGCAGAACAATCTTCTTCCCAACAGATTTGTGGGAAAACCAAGAGCAGAGACAACCAATTCCTCTTTCGCCTTGATGATTGATTGCAGCTGAGTTACCACTGTACTCTTGGTTCTTCCACGTTGACCCACCAAGAAAACTGAACGCCATAATCCGTCCAAAGACAACTTTCTTCTCCTCGGATACAAAGGCACACCATTGGCCAACAGCGATATCTTCATTTACTTCCACAGCATTTGAATCACTTGTATACTGATTGTGGCGCACTTCTGCTGATTGCACCCTTCGCAAGCGATCATTACTTAGCTTGGTGTGACCCTTGCTAAGAAACCAGACGTATGAAGATTTCTTGATAATACGGTGGCCTCCATTTATGGTGGGCACTTTCACTAATGGGCTTGTTGGAGCTACTTCCACATTGTCAAAACTTCTCAATCCAGATTGATCAAGCTGGCTAACACACATATCTTCATCAACGTCGAGGTGCACATCATCACAATCTCGGTCTGGGTCAGGGTCACACTCTGGGAATTCATCTGTTTCAACCAAACCTGAATCAATTTCTAAATCATCATCGTCTTCGTTGGTGGGTTCTTCAGCAGAATTGAGACCACTTTGAATGAGAGAAAATACTGGAGGTGGAATCTGCTTTAGAGGTTTGCTGATTAACTTGAGCTTCATGGCAGTAGCATTTGCTCT